TCCTACTCTAAAGGTGACTACTACCCGATTGCCCTCAGAGCAATGAAACAAATCGGTACACACCCAAGGCGTCAACTGAACGATTCCTTCATCAGTATATGACGTTCGTATACTCTCGGCGACACTCTCCTAAACCCTAAACCCTCACAGGAGCATAGAGTTCGTGACAATGACAAGAACGGAGGCTGCAAAACGCACGACCGATCCACCAAAGCCCCAAACACGCTGATCTGGGAAAGCCGCACTGAATCCGCAACCCACCACGCCCTAAAAGCCCAAACTTATGAAGCTCAAGCCTGAACCTCACGATAAACCCCACAAGCCGCAGGCCCAAAGCGCTCAAGCCCAGCCCTGAAACCCTTAGCCCTACTTGTCTGAACCAAAAGCAAGTCACTAACTCCTAAATCCAGCGTGGGGTGGGTCCTTCAGCAGCTTCTTGTCCTCCTCTTCCTCGATTGCCTCGAGGAAGACGCTGGCCTGAGCATGTGTGTTTCTAGAAGTGGGTTGAGGCTGTTGAACTCCGACCTTGCGAGGCTTTCCTCAGGTATCTAAAGGGCTGCGTTCTGCTTCTATAGGGGCCTTGTAGTGGCCTTAGGGGTGAATGGACGAAGCCGGCTGCCTGCTTTGAAGGTGTTCAGGAAGCCTCTTTAGGCTTCGCTTCCAAACCCCATTACTGGGGTGATCCGTGCATGTCACCCAGCCTACAGAACGCCCTGATCCTTGAAGTAGGGTTTCATGAGGTTCAGAAAACAAAATAACACATGCAACGGTATACAAGTCGATTTAGGGTCAAGGCTTCGTGCTAAGCCTTTAAGACTCGTATGGGGCTTAGGAGCTTTCCGGCTTCAGGTGACAAGGTCTATGTGGGGCTTGGGGCTGGAACTCTAGGTGCCAGAATGCCAACCGCTTCCAGCAAATCAGGCGGAGACACACAGCTCCCTGTCGTGAATGACTCCTTACTGAAAAATCTAATTTCGGTGCAATAATAACAAAAAATTGAGTTGGGGTACGCATTATACTATTTTAACAATGAAGCCAAAAAAAATTGGCAACTATTTAGGCCCCAAAATTAGCGATACCGCTGGCTGTGGTAGTACAATATACATACCCCGAACCTAATCCTGGAGCCCTCGGCCTTCAATAACCCGCGAGATCCTTGTTTACAACATTTGGAATTTACAGCTGCAGCTGCCTCAACAAAACACCCAGAAACACCTGAGGGCCCGTGTGCTGTGCCGCTGCTTGCAACATGTATATATGACGTGTGAATGCGCTGACGCTTGGGACAAGGTGACACCTCAATAACGAAACCGCAGCCAGGCCTTGTTGCACATGGCCTCCTGCATGTCCAGGATGTAGGCGATGCCTAACACAAGGCTTTGCAAGTTCTGGGGGGCGGCGGGACGAAAAGCTCGGGGACTTGGTGAGCCTTCCCACCGTTACTGGCACGACACCACTGCACCGTTCGACCCCTGCTCGAAGACTCTCGGGCTCCAGCGAACCCGTGAGATGCTCCCATGAAAGTTGAGCTGTTTGACAAAGATCCGACTGCCACACAAAATCAGAGCACCATGTTTTGAATGCAGAGGTGGTAGCTTGTCGTCCCCCAAGATTGCAAGCTCTACACAAAGCCAAAGAAGCCGTCTCTGGGTTCGATGAACATCTCATCGGCACTTCTCTCGACGGTATCGGAACCGTACACTTGGAGCATGGGCTTTCGGGCTTTCAACTGCATGAGGGCGCCCTTCTGATCAGAGGTTTTGGGACTATTTTCTCTGTCATGCCCTGTTCTGATCGGGGCCAGACTAGGTCTGGGGTTTACACCAGGGAATCCACACAATCATGCAGAGTACTAACCCGAACTGAAAAGAGCCACCAGATTCCCGTCGGTCCGAGTGCGCACAGACCCCACGCCCCGTGCCTCCACTCATGCCTGCTGCGAAGTTGGATCCCATCCTGGACATGTGCGGATCAGAGTGCCCAAAGTCAGACTCATAAACGTGTGTCTGTGCGTGTGTATGCATTGTACATGCCATGTGAACCAAGCATTTACACATATCCGAGCGGCAAGTGTGTGTGTGTGTGTGTGTGCGCAGGTATGCGTGTGCGCGTGTCTGTGTGCCCGTTGGGTTATATCGCCGTGTCCCTTCACAACCACTTCGAATGCAGCATCTATTTGGGGTTAATTACATTGCTTACCCATGTGTTTTTGTTGCGTGATGGGACCCTGCTTTGCAAGAATCTTTGAGGGTTCACGGTATCTGTGTGTATATATGTAGACACGCAAATACATTTACAACAATATGTATATGTGTATGTATGTATATATATATATATATATATCATATACACATACATTTACATACATACCGGCCTGCCTGCCTACCTACCTGCCTCCCAGCCTGCTGTCTGTCTCCTTGGCAATTTGCCCATCACTAAATGTCATAATTAGGCACATGCATTCATGCATGCATAACTACATGCATGCATATGCACATACATACATACATACATACATACATACATACATACATACATAGCATAAGATTACAATACATTAATACATACATACATTCATACATTCATGAATGCATTCATACATACATGCATTCGTACATACATACATACATACATACATACAAACATATGTACATGCATACATGCACAAATACATACAAGTAGGGATCCTGGATGTACCAAGCCCAGGTTAATGACGATCTTAGAAGGTTTAGTCTCCGCGATCCCGGGTCATAAATTAAATCATGCCTGTCAGGAGGCCCAAATCCAAATGAAATATGGCAAACTTGAATGGGGCCCTAGATGTCCTGTTTAACAGCCTGCACAGCGCCGGATATCTTATGCCCATCTTATGGTCTTGAGGAAATCCCGGGGCGTATTGGCTCACCGAAAAAGTATGTCATGAATTCATAAGGATTTCAAAGCGCGTGGATGCTTTCCACCTGCAGGAAACCCCATAAAGTTGCAAACCGGATTAAGGCTTCTAAGTTTCCAACTTTCGGGCATTTACTGTACTACATATGTCCCCTGAGCCCCCAGAGCCGTTTGGGGTTTTCAAGAAATGCTGCAACCTAACACTCTCTCATCCCAAGCCTGTCGTCTAGCTCCAAGGGTTTCAGCAAAATAGGGGCTCCGAGTGAGGGAGGGGAGGGGGGCGGGGCGCGACGGTCTTCCGGCCTTCGGACCAATTTAGTGTTGGTGCCAGGACTCCGGGCCATGTCAGGGATAAGGCCGGTTGCGTGTAGCTCGGCTGTCATGCGGGGAGGGGGAGAGGATTTGGGGGGATTTTGAGTCCAGAACCTTGGGTGTGGAGCTGAATATGTGCATCTGAAGATCCGGCGAACCCCACATATTCCGCGACACGTATAGTACATATACACTTTTGTGCCCTTACAAAGAAGGCTACAAGTACAAACTTCGATTCAGGCCGAGCTTCTGTCCGAGGACGATGACCGTACCACGGGTCATGTACCTAATTGGTGCTTGGATGTGTTTGCGTGGCTCTTCCGGGGTAAGGGCTTTCTTAAGATTGGGGGTGGGGTTCAAATTCAGGATGGGGTTTTGTCCCTCCCCCTTGTTACTGAAACGCAGGTTTCGAACAAGGGGATTGATGATTGAAGATGATGCGGAACAGTAGTTTCGCGGAGGCTGCAAATCAACACACAAAACAAAAACAGATCCTTGTGTCCTTGTGCGGACCATAACGACAGGCATGCAGACACACGATTATTACTGCTCGTACGACTCCTCATACTGATCCTCTTGCTCACGCTAATTCTAATGCTAACACCGTTGCTGGAAATGCCCATGCTCACACTGACGCAGCTGTAACGGTTACCACCAGGGACGACGGCGGGTGTTGGGCCCTGATATGTCTTAAACCCGCTGGTCTTTGATGGTTTCTTGACAGATTACAACAACGACATTATGCTGAAAACCTGTTTCGAAAACAACGTTTGGGGTTCCCTGATTAATCCTATCCCCTAAACCCTGGCCGACGACAAACTCAACTGCTGCGGCAAGCCTGTCTGCCGGGCTGTCGAAACTCAAGGAGACTGCTTCAAGTGTATCGGCGATATCGGTACCATCGATCGCCCGCTGCAGGGTCAAGGCTTCAAGCGCTGCCCTCGGGCATGGTTGGGGAATCTTAGGACTATAGAGCTTCACACGCTCATGGCCCTAGAGCATTGGGAACTCCGGAATTTGGATCCCAGCATTCAAAGTGCCACGACCGGAAACTCCAAATCCCTAAACCCTAAATCCCTAAACCCTAAAAAGGCAAATCCTAATTATCCTAATTGTTTGGATCCCAGTTGCTCGCAGCCGTGGTCTCCCACGCCTGCTTCAGATCAGGGATCCTTGATAAGAACTTTACAACATGCGTTTAGGAAAGGACTTCAGAGCGGTTTTCTCCAGGTTGAAGGCTTTGGGCTTTTGGGGATTTCGGGCCTTCGGGGTTTAAGCTTTGAGGCTTGGCAGGTGTAGGGCTTGGGGGTTTAGCAGCGACTATCATCCGGATATGGGCCTTTCAGCACTGGCCCCAAACCTCTCCCGGCGAGTGAAGCCTGAGCCCGATACCTGCCAGCCGAACTGCTTTAGTTTCAGGCCCCGGGGGTGCTTTCATTGTTTGAAGGTCTGAGGGTTTTCAAACAACCTTAACAACCTAAACCTACTTGCTATGATCAAGACCACTTGCTGCGCACCCCAAGTCATTGTCAGTATTGACAACCCCAGAAACTCTCAAATCCTAGACACCATACCAGGACAGGTCCAGGAGGCTACACTAGCCCTTGAACTCGAACTCCCAACAAACCAAGAGCCCGAAAACAGAAACCTGCGCAAGCCCTGGGATTTCTGGCAAAGCCTGAATCCTTCGGGGGCCCTTTTCCGAACACCTGGACCCAAACCATAATAGTAATTGCTAATATAGAAACCCTACATTCTACTATATCGGTACTTTGGACCCTTTGGGGGAGTGTCCCTTAGCTCCGATCTCTTGGGAGCTCCTCGCCTTCGCAGACCGCCGTCGCCCCGGAATTTCGCACGGCGAAGCGCTCGGCAGCGATACCGGCGAAGAAGGCCTTGCCGGCGGTGCCTGGCAGTGGGGCCCTTATGTCTCTTGCCAATTTCAGAAGGGTCCTGCGTTGTAGGATCTACAGTGCTGGCCGCTAGGTGTGGTAGATTCTTCTTAGACGGGAGGAGTTTCTGACCTGAAGGCGCAGGGTTTGGTTTGCGGGGGGGGGGGGGGGGTATATGGAAGGCAATTAAAAGATCAGGGGTACCGCCCTCCTAGCGAGGGTTTCGTCAAATTTAGCTTGCTGAAGGATGCGTAGACTCAGGACCCTATTCAAACTTCACATTCACATTTCTCGACATTGGGGTTTCAATGCTTGTTACGTCTTGCCAAAGAATCTCGGGACGAAGCTAAACAGATGAATGCAACTAGGATGGTATTTTCAGAGCTGAGCGCCCGATTTCAGAAGGAGGACTTAGCAACTCCCCCCATCCCAAGAACTCATCACGGAGCCCGCAACGACCTATCACCAAAGTGAGACATGAGACGGATCATGGTAGAAGACAATACAGCAGAAGCTTGCCCCCAGCAGCATGTTCTTATTGACTTTCTACTGCCTCATTTTGCACGTTCTCATAAGGTGACATGATCCAGAATCCCCATCAGTAATCCCCACCATGCTAAAGGCCGAAGCTCACCGTAGAATTCCTTATGTTCCACCTCCGTAGAGCGCAGCGTTGCCCGCGATGATGGCGTCGTGCGACGCATACGGAGCCTCTGCAAAATCACCGGGGTTGCCCCATTGTCGGATCATGGCGATAAACCTATCGCAAGTATGGCTTCATGCGCACCTCCTATGTTGAGTGTGAAACCTGCCGGCCAAGATTGGGGTAAAGTCGTTGCTGGGAGGTTCTGGCGCCAGTTTGAAGCAACCAAACCCGTCGGCCAGAATTGGGGTAAAGTCGTTGTTGGGAAGTGCTGGCACCATTTTGAAGCAACCAAAACCTGTCGGCCAGGATTAGGGTAAAGACGTTTCGGGAGGTGTTGGCGCGATGTTGAAGCAACCAAACCTGTTGGCCAGGATGGGCACAAAGTTGTTGGGAGGTGCTGGCGCCATTTTGAAGCACACAAACCTGTCGGCCAGGATTGGGGTAAAGTCGTTGTTGGGAGGTAGCTGTCAGCCAGGATTGGCATTGGGGTAAAGTCGTTGCAGGGAGGTGCTGGCGCCAGTTTGAGGCAACCAAGCCTGTCCCAGGGTGCAGGGCTTCTTGAGCCTTGCTTCGGACCCATGTCTTGCACAAGTTCCGTTGCCAGCAGACCCATCTGCGACAATGAGTTTTGGCAGAACCGTAAATCTCCTGAACCCCTAAGCCCAAGCCCAAGTTCTAAACCGAAACCCTAAACTCCTGAACCTCTTCAAGACATTCAAAACCTCGCAAAACCCCCGTGGCGGTCACTGCCTTTGCTTAAGTCCACGAGTCGACAGCGACACTGACAACCACCCTGCAAAAGCCCGGAAATACCAAGGAAGCATCCGATGCCGAAGCCAAAGCCTTCCGCCTAAATCCTAAATCCCACGTCGGGTTGACATGATCAAGAAGCACCAGAAACTTCGGCTTCCTGGGAGGGAAGGATCTCATAGCTTCCAGCGGCGTGCCCCAGTACGCCGAAGACGGTGCTACAAACGTTCACAAGGACCCTTTGTTGCTTTCAGCCCTCAGTCCTCAGCCTTAGAACACATAACAGAAAAAGCCTAGACCTTACGCCATGAACGGCACATGAACGCAACCCTGAATGCTGCACTCCAAAAGCATCCTACCCTAAAGCCTGTACGGCACTCCATCAGGCACTCTAATCACTCCTACTAAACCGGAGCCCGAATTCCCTAAACCCTTAATCCCCAAATGCAAGCCCGCAACGACGCGCCTGGTTGGGCTTGTACACGACCAGCGTGCCTCCACTCAGGCCCTTGCCGATGTAGTCGTTGGCATCGCCTGCAGCCATGGCTGGCGGCTTCAAGCGTTTAGGCTTCGGCTTTAAGGTACCGGCTTCTATAGATTTAGGGCATTTAAGGATGCTTTCCCATCAAAGATCCCCGAAGGAGACTTAGTAAGGGGGAAAGGTTTTTGTTTTTAAGACTGGCTTATTAGACTAGACCCCGGTCAGTGGCTCGGAATTCTGAGGTCAAAGGGTTTGGGTACGATTTGAACTCATTTGGGTGTAGCGTGTAGGTTTCCGTTCGCTATGTGAACGTGGAGCAGGGGTACCATTGCCCAAGAAGACCACACTCACAATTCCTTAGGAGCGTTCTAGACCCAAACATAAACCCTGCTCACTGCTAACCATGATCTTGAAATTTAGCTGATTCCAGCCTTCACTGACTACACTCCGCAAGGAAGTGCCCCCGATGGCTCAGCTGAAGCCATCACGGTGCAACCAACCAGCACTTAGACGTTGAGACCTCGGCCCGTGAGTGCACAAAACCTCCGAAACCCAAGCCTCAAATCGAAAACTTTCAAATCCGAACACAATATCTCAAACCCGCATGAGTAGAGCGAAATCGCATCGAACAGTGCTTCAAGCTCTGCAGCAATTCGTAGCAACTCGTTTTAATCTCAACACCCTGAGTCCGAACCTAAACCCCTATAGACTGAGAAACGCTAACTGCAGAAAACTGAAGCCTGAACCTTAACTAACTCTCAGGCCCTAAACCCCGTATCCTACACAAAACCCACTGGGGTCCCTGGCCCTCCAGCTCGAAAGTGATACCAGGAGCCAAAAAGTTACCGAAAGACTGTCCTGCTCCGGTCTCGTGCTTTGGATTGAAGGGTTTACGGCCTTAGGGCTTTCAGGGCTGGGGATTTCTGGTTTAAGGGTTTCAGGGTTTTCGGGCATAGGGATTTATGGCTTCGGGCTTTCAAACTGAGTTTGTAGATGCATCTACGGATTCGGAATTTGAGGCATTTGGATGCCTTTCTTGTATAATGACTTCATAGCGCACCATGTTGGATCCTACTGAAGCGCAGTGCTTTCACCACGGCTTTAGCTGGGCTTCTGATTCACTGCGCCGTTGCATCGGGAAGCGCGGGGGCTTAAACCCCAGCTCTCGAACATTGTCCCTTGGCGGCCATCAACACATAACTTTCGCTGGGGCGTCTTGGGAACTGAGATCCCGCAACCGGCATCTTGATCACGAAGCCACAAAACTTGAGGCATCCCCACCGCATTCGTAGCGACAAAACTTGAAGCCACAAAACTTAAGGTGCCGCGCCCCGACCGGTTCGTGACCACGAAGCTACAAAAATTGAATTATCCCACCCAACTTCGTTGCCAGCCGGGATCTTGACGATCTTGAACACGAAGCGACAAAACCTGGATAACCTTGCAGCTTGACCACGAAGCCGCAAAACTTGGGGTATCCCAACCGGGATCTTGACCACGAGGCCGCGCCACTTGGGGTTACCCCACCGGGATCTTGACCACGAAGACGCAAACCTTGAAGTACCCCAACCGGGATCTAGACCGCGAAGCCACAAAACTTGTGGTATCCCAACTGGGATGTTAACCACGAAGCCGCAAAACTTGAGGCATTCCAACCGGCATCTTGACTACGGAACCACACAGCTTGAGGTATCCCAACCGGGATCTTGACCACGAAACCAAAAAACTTGAGGTATCCTCAACCGTGATCTTAACCACGAAGCCACAAAACTTGAAGGTGTCCCAACCGGTATCTTGACCACGAAACCTCAAAATTTGAGGTATCCCAACTGGGTTCTTGACCACGAAACCTCAAAACTTGAGGTATCCCAACCGGGATCTTGACCACGAAGCCACAACACTTGAGGTATCCCAACAGGGATCTTAACTGGCCACGAAACCTCAAAACTTGAGGTATCCCAACCGGGATCTTTGACCACAAACCCACAAAACTCGAGGTATCCCAACTGGGATCCCAACTGGGATCTTGACGCGAAACCTCAAGACTTGAGGTACCCCAGCCGGGGTCTTGACCACGAAGCCAAAAAAAATTGTGGTGTTCCAACCGGGATCTCGACCACGAAGCCACAAAACTTGAGGTATCCCAACAGGGATCTTGACCACGAAGCCACAAAACTTGAGGTACCCCCACCGGGATCTTGACCACGAAGCCACAAAACTTGAGGTGTCCCAACCGGGGTCTTGAGCACGAAACATCAAAACTTGATGTATCCCAACCGGTATCTTGACCACGAACCCACAAAACTTGAGGTACCCTTACCGGGATCTTGACCACGAAGCCACAAAACTGGAAGTATTGCAACCGGGATCTTGACCACAAAGCCACAAAACTTGAGGTATCCTCAACCGGGATCTTGACCACGGAGCCGCAAAACTTGAGGTATCCCAACAGGGGTCTTGAGCACGAAACCTCAAAACTTGATGTATCCCAACCGGGATCTTGAGCACGAAGCCACAAATCTTGACAACGAAGCCACGAAACTTGAGGTGTCCCAACCGAGATCTTGACCACGAAGCCACAAAATTTGAGGTATCCCAACCGGGATCTTGATCACCGGTGAAATCCTGACTCGGGATCTTGACCACGAAGCCACAAAACCTGATTCAACAACCGGGATCGCCCCCGGGCGGGATCTTGACCACGAAGCCGAAAGACTTGAAGTATCCCAGCCGGGATCTTGACCACAAACCCACAAAACTCGAGGTATCCCAACTGGGATCCCAACCGGGATCTTGACCACGAAATCACAACAACTTGAGGTATCCCAACCGGGATCTTGACCACGAAGCCACCAAACTTGCAGCATCCCAACCGGTATCTTGACCACGACGCGACAAAACTTGAGGTGTCCCAACCGGGATCTTGGCCACGAAACCTCAAAGCTTGCAGTGTCCCAACCGGCATTTTGGCCACGAAACTTCCACGTAACCTCAAAACTTGAGGCATTCCAACCAAGATCTTGACCACGAAGCCACAAAACTTGAGGTATCCCAACCGGGGTCTTACCTCGAAGCTACAAAAAGATGAGGTAACCCAGCCGGGATCTTGACCACGAAGCCAAAACAAGTTGTGGTATCCCAACCGGGGGCTTGACCACGAAGACAACAAAACTTGGAGGTATCCCAACCGGGATCTTGACCACGAAGCCACAAAACTTGGAGGTATCCCAACCGGTATCTTGACCACGAAGGCCAACAAAACTTGATCGGGATCTTGGCCAAAACAACAACGGGGTCTTGACATCGAAGCTACCATGATGAGGTATCCCAGGTATCCCAACCGGGATCTTGACCACGAAGCCAACAAAACTTGAGGTATCCCAACCGGGATCTTGACATCGAAGCTACAAAAAGTTGAGGTATCCCAACCGGGATCTTGACCACGAAGCCAACAAAACTTGAGGTATCCCAACCGGGATCTTGACATCGAAGCTACAAAAAGTTGAGGTATCCCAACCGGGATCTTGACCACGAAGCCAACAAAACTTGAGGTATCCCAACCGGGATCTTGACATCGAAGCTACAAAAAGTTGAGGTATCCCAACCGGGATCTTGACCACGAAGCCAACAAAACTTGAGGTATCCCAACCGGGATCTTGACATCGAAGCTACAAAAAGTTGAGGTATCCCAACCGGGATCTTGACCACGAAGCCAACAAAACTTGAGGTATCCCAACCGGGATCTTGACATCGAAGCTACAAAAAGTTGAGGTATCCCAACCGGGATCTTGACCACGAAGCCAACAAAACTTGAGGTATCCCAACCGGGATCTTGACATCGAAGCTACAAAAAGTTGAGGTATCCCAACCGGGATCTTGACCACGAAGCCACAAAAAGTTGAGTTTGTCAGAAGCCATCACGGCATCTTCTAGAGGCGGCTTCCGGGTTTGAGACATTGAGACTGTATCTGCCCATCGCTGCAGCGCTGAAGCCCTAAATCTACACCGGAAAAAGCCCGAAAGCCTAACGTCCCTAAAGGGCCCTAAAGGAGGAACCCCCGCGCGAGCAGAGAGCTCCTGAGCTGCCAATGAAGGACACGTGCAAGGTGCCATCGGGGAGTCCAACTGCACCGAACTTCTTGCTGACCTGCCCGGGACGGCAGTTCAGCTTGTGGGGTCGTCATCGGATTCTGCAGGGCCTTGTACAGGTGTCTCTCGAAAAAAAATTAAAGTGGTGTAGGGCTGAAGCGGGCCAGACGGGCTTAGGGCCTAGGGCCTCATTTAGAGCTATTTGGGATTCTGGCTTGAAGGGTAAGGAGGGGCTTTGTCGGTGCATTTCTGAAGCTGCGTGGGTGGTTTTGCCAGTTACTGCGTCCTAGGTAGATGAACTGGTACAACTGCGGTTACCCCACTTCTGACCGTACTGACTAAGTCTACTGATCCTTTATGAACAGGCCACAGCCCGATGGTCAACCAATTGCAGAATCCAAGTCAAGGCAGCGTTTCGGTCAGGAGCAGGGCCTTTTAGATGGGGTGCTCGGGCTTCTTCGACGCTTCGAGGTTTGGGTTTAGGGAATGACTCCCTGCCGACACCTCGACTTGGGTTAGAGGTGTCGAAAATATCTAAACCAATAACCAAGGCAAACGACGATTACAAGCAGTAGTGATCAGGATGCGGATGGTCGGCCATGGTCCTGGATAGTCGGAAAGCCCCTAAACCTTCAGCCTCAAAATCATTCCCAGCCTCGAAACTGAGGATGCCTCCCACTGAGCGGTCAACGTTGTTGATGTTGATGCCCTTCAGGTGGACCTGTTCATCGGGTCTGTAGGGCGTCAGCGTCATTGGGGTCTTGAGGTGACTCACCTTTTTGGTGGGTGAGCTAGGGTGCTTTCTGCAGAAAGGCAAGGTGCCTGCAACAGTTTGGATGTAGGGTTCAGGACACTGAGAGTCTTTCGAGGTCAGAAGTGCTTGGAGCATAAGTCAGAGCAACACAGTCTTGAAGCTATGACTCTCGTTTTGAAGCCATCAGGTATCTTCTGAAGACTTCCCAAGCTTCCGACCGAAGTCGGGAGCTGCCGAGGGCCTTCTCCTTGTCCTGCAGCGCCGGGGCGCAGCGGGAGATGAGGCTCTGGTCCAAGGCATGAGCCAGCTCCTGAGCGGCTTTGCTTTTGGCCTTCCCTTTGCTGGTGGCGCCCTAGTTCTTGTTCTTTAGTTACAGGGGGTCGTAGGGCTTCTTCCGGCTTCGGGGTTGGAGGGTCTGAAATCAGCAAATCGGGCTTCAGAGGTTCAGAATTTGCTGTACTGGTCGAGGTTGAGGGTGGCTGAAGCGGCTGTGGGTTTGGGAATTTGGGTCAAAGCTGAAGGGCTTAGTGGTTTTGGGGAACAGGGTTTCCAAGGATTTGGCTTTTGGTAACTTAGCATCAGGCCCTGGAGAAGTGACCTGTATGGCATTCAAGCAAACCCCAAACACTGACTGAAGTAGCTGGGGGGCATGGTCTTGCGGCTCGCAGCAATACATCGGCAGCTCGGCGATGTTGCCTCTGGAGCAGGGGGTTTCTCTCATGTGGTTTGGTTGCGAGTGAGGCTTTTGCAAGGGTTTGGCTCACTGGCTCAACCACAAAGGGGTGAAAAAAGACCGCTGCTTCTGACGAGAATGCTAATGTGTACAGCGGTACACCCCATGGAGGGCTTCCACAGCGTAGCCCCGAGTCTGAAGAAGGGTTTTCTTTCCAAGGCTAAACCCTGAAACACTTAAGACCCTCAAAGACCCTTAACACCCGTAAAAACCGTAACGCCCTTGAGCCCTATTCGACCTCTTAACCCCTAAACCCCAAAATGCTTTTCACCACGTTAAATAACCTAAAGCCCTTAACCCTAAAACCCTTCAAACCTTTTTCCCGTTTGGTAACCCTCCATAAACCACACTCTGAAACCCTACAAGCCCTAAACCCTCTTAACCCTGTAGCGTCTTGAAACCTTTGTACCCCAAGCCCTAAAAGGACCTGAAATGAATCTGAATCTAAACCTTTAAACCCGGAATCTCGAAATCCTAAAGAACCTGAAACCCTTAAGCCCTTGACAAACCGTAGAACCCCGAACCCTGAAATCCTAAAAAACCCTGTTTTGCCTTCAACACCACAAACCCCCAAACCCTTATACACCTTCTGTTGCCGCTTATATCCTCAACCCTAAGACCCTAAACCCTTAAAAACCAGATGAACCTCTCAAAGCCTTGACCGCCAAATCCCTTTAAACCCTAAACCCTTAGGCACCTTTTGTTTGCCGCTTGTGCCATAAAACCACAGCCCCTAAACCCTAAAGCCGTAAACCTTCAAACCCTAACCCTAACAACCATGAAACCCCAAAACCCTCAAGCCCATATAAAACCCTAAACCCTAAAATCGCGAAAGCGCCCAAGACCACTAAACCTCAAACCCCAAACCCGCAAAGCTGTAAAGCCTCGCTTTAACCCTGCAAACCTTTCATACCAATTGCAAAATACCCTGAAACCCTAGCACTCGTTAAACCCCTCGAGCCTTTTCAACCCTAAGTCCTGGAACCCAACACCCGAAAAACCCGAAGAGCCCTGAAAGCCGTTAAATCCGTTAAACCATGAAACCCAACACCAAAAAGAGCCCTCTATGAAGGGTTTAACCCTTAAACCCTCAAGCCCTAAACCCTAACAACCCCAACACCCGGAAACCCTTAAATTCCTTCTTGAAGCCCTTGTCATCCCTGCGACGCCTTGGCACCCTCAGAAGCCTTCAAAGCCTAAACCCAAGAACACCTCTGACTTGAAAACCCTGAAGCCTTCAAAGCCCACTCTGAGGCCCAAGAAGCCCTAAGAAGCCCCAAACGCCCCGACAACCAAACCCCTTTACAGCCCCTTCAAGCGCTTGATCCCTGAGCCCTAAAGCCCTTACACCGCGAAACCCCAAAACCGTTGAACACCCTTTAAACTTAACCCCCAAGCCCTAAGCCACAAAAACCTCAACCTAAAACGCCTGAAACCGAACACCCGCTAAACCCCCCCAAGCCCTTCAAAACCCTGTAACTAAACCCTTCAAATCCTAAAACCCTTTCGACCTGTTCATACCCTTAAACCAAAAACCCGAAACCCTACAACCCTGCACCATGAAGCCTGAAACCCTGAAACCGTTGAACCCTTTTGTATACAGCACTAGAGCACTAAAACCCTGCACCCGAAAACCCTTACTAATCCTAAAATAGTAAAACTCCTAAACCCCTGTAAACCCCTTCGACCCTTTCAACCCTCAGCCCTAAAACCCTAAAACACACAAGCCCCAAAAACGCTCAAACCCATTAATCCAAAACCTTTAAACCCGAAAACCCTACACCCTAAAACCCTTGAAACCCTAAAACCACTGAAACCATTCAACCCCTAAACCCCCTGAACAACCCGAAGACCCTTTAAACCCTTAAAACCCTTAACTAAATCAATCCCTTAAGCAGTTACACCCTAAACCTTTCAAAGCCCTGCTTTCGCCGACAGCCCAAAACCCTACACCCTAACCTCTCAAAGCGCTAAAACTCCCTGAAACCCTACAAACCCGTCTTGCGCTCTCAACCCCAAACCCTAGAAACTCAAGAAGCCCTCAAACCCACAAACCTCTAAGCCTAACTATAAATCCGAAACTCCCTCAACTCCACCAACTCAACCCGAAACCCCTGCAAACTCAAGAAGCCCTACAAAACCCACAGCCCACATGTAATCCGGAACTCCCTAAACTTCAAGCATCCTGACGCACCGAAGTCCCATACATCCCAGAGCTTGCACCGGGCTGCTCATGGAAACCCCAAAACTACAACCCTCAAGCCCTAGAATGACCCTCGAAGCCCTCTCAACCCTAAACTCCCAAAGCCCCCCGAACCCTGGGGATCAGAGTAGCCCCAAAGCCTTAGATAGTATGGTCTTTGGGCCCACAAGCCTTAATATACGAGTCCTTAGAGCCCTAGGGAAACCCTAAAGCCCCTAAACCCTAAACCACCGTAAACCCTATAAACCCTAAACCCTAACCCCTAAAACCCTAAACCCTGAAACCCTAAACCCTAAAACCCCAAACCCTAAAACCCTAAACCCTAAAGCCCGTAACCCTAAAACCCTTAAACCCTAAAACCCTAAAACCCTAAACCCTAAAACCCCAAACCCTAAAACCCTAAACCCTAAAGCCCCTAACCCTAAAACCCTAAAACCCTTAAACCCTAAAACCCTAAACCCTAAAACCCTAAAACCCTAAACCCTAAAACCCTAAAACCCTAAACCCTAAAGCCCCTAACCCTAAAACCCTTAAACCCTAAAACCCTAAAACCCTAAACCCTAAAACCCTAAACCCTAAAACCCTAAAACCCTAAACCCTAAAACCCTAAAACCCTAATTCCTTAACCCTAAAACCCTAAACCCTAAAACCCTAAACCCTTAACCCTAAACTCCCTCAACCTGCCGGGTGGCTCATGGAGTTCTCCATGGTCCAGGCCGGCTTCAGGAGGTCCGCGAAGTCCAAGTCGGCGGTCTTCGGGTTGTCCTTTCAAGGACAGAGGTTTATAGGTTCTCTAAGGGCTGTCCTGTAGGACTTCCGGTTGTCCTTTCCAGGACATTGGGGGTCGTTTTATAGGATTGTCTAAGGGGCTGCATTGTAGGACTTTCTACGGTTTTGTAAGGGCTGTATTGTAGGACTTTGTACGGTTTTCTAAGGGCTGTATTGTAGGGCTTTGTACGGTTTTTGTAAGGGCTGTGTTGTAGGGTTGTGTGGGCTTTGTAAGGGCTGTATTGTAGGGTTGTGTGTGTTTGTGTGTGCTTTGTAAGGGCTTTGTAGGGTCTATGGGGCTGTTGTAGGGTTTTGTACGGGCCATAAGGGGTTATGAATACTTATAGGGTTCCGCAGGCTTGTCCTTTTTATTGGGTTTTGTAAGTCTCGATTTGGGTTTTAGATGGGGCTGTAGGGGTGTCCTGTGATTGTAGAAGTTAGTGTTCAAAGGCGGGTGTGGGAGGGCTCGGGGCTGATGGACTTTAAGATACGGTTTGGGAAAACCGAACCTTGGGTAATGGAAAGCTGTTGAGGGTGTTGAAATTGGCGTTGTGCTGAGGGGTTTCATTGGGTGTCCTCGGGTAGTAAGCCGAAAACGAAAGTTTTGGGCTTTGTGGCTTGAGAATTGTTGGGGGCTGTTTTGTGCTCAGAGTTGTGTGGAGGAGACTTGCAAGGGTGCTGCTGATGTGCCGCGAAGAAAAGAGAGCCCTTTACCCAAACCCAAAAACGCAGCGGAGCCTTCAAGCACCTTGAGAAATCCGGCCTTGAGATATCCCTTGGGTCGGAGGAGATCGGTGCGTCCGATGAGATCGTTGAACTTCTTGATTCCTGGGGCAGTTTCTTGTTATTTCGCGCAGGTTAGAATCAGAAACGAAGACCCTCAGATGCGCTGACCTACTTGTCCACTAGGGGAACTAAAGACAAACCTAGGACTGCAAAGAGGGCATCCTTCCCAGAAGTGTACAGATTCTACTTACTCTGCTGGCATCACAAGATCCTACAACATAGCAGATTAAGCTTCCGAGGCAGCTCGGACCCTTAAACCCTAAATGTCCCTGCGAAGCTACTTCCTTCATACTACCATAAGTAAATCCTACGTAAAAGGCGGGCCCCGGGCCCGGCACGGCGGAGGTGTAGTGCAGTATCATACGTTGTACTGTGTATCTTGCGAAGAACTCTATTTACATGTTTTTGTATAAGTTCATCAAAAACGATAGGTTCTTGGACTCTTGAATTTCTACCTCGAACCCTTAACGCCCTGCAGAGCTAGAATTCCTCTTTAGTTTACCAAGTTACAGTATGTTATTTTGGCCCAGTACATCAAACCGAAAAGTTAAAAGCCCTCTAAGGCTATATTATATTATATGATATATTTAATTATATTATATTATATTATGCTATACTACCTCCCTATAGTACTTCCTCTATCGTTAAAAAATTGATCCCAAGCAGCCCAGCGAAGCCATGATCTCGCGGGCCTCCTCAGCGACCTCAGCTGGGGCACACCATTCCTTGCGACCTAGTTCAGGGCCTCTTTGAATCAAAGAAACCCAGGTCACAAGTGATTCATCAAGAATGACAGCAAAAGCCTTGTAAGAGGCTTGGATCTGCAGCACGTTCTTGAGCTGGCCCTGCACGGCACTACTGTCGCCGCCAGAGGCAGCATCACCCCAGGTCACAACAGATCCATCGCCGAGAAGGGCAGCAAAGGCAGAAGACGTGGACTGGATTTGAACTCCGTTTACATGGAAGGTCAGCGAGTCGCCGTTCTGAATCTGGGAGATCTCTGTCTCCTCACATCCAGAACGACTCCCGAGGAGTCCAGCAGCCGCCCTTTCCCGACTCCAAGTGCGATCTGTGCCCGTTGGGTCAACGTCTCCACAGTTTCGTCCAGGCCTGCTTGTACAGTTGCTGTCTTTCCACTGAGCAATGACACTTCCAGGGTAATCATCGACATGCTCCCTGCACAATGCCGCCCGACTCGCACTATCAGAAGGATGGTGCGTGTGCAGGCTACTGGAGTAGTGGTTCACTTGAAACATGGTGAGCATAACCAAGGGAGAGAGGGGTTTGCTGCTTTCTACTCTAGGGCTCAGTTGCTGGTTGCCAGAATCCTATCTGATCTCCTACACTATGACACTATGAGCATACCGTGGGATGCAGCAGATTGGGCTCCTGTTGGAGGATGTTCAACATGAAGTCTCATTCAAAACCGCAAGCCTACGGGAGCAGCACTCGACTGAGGGGTTTAGGGTGCAGCCGAGTCGCCATGAAGAGGTAGTTGATGAGGTGCTCCGGCTGTCCTGTGACAGCACGAAAACTCGATGCTAACGTCAGCGCAGGAATTCAACTTCAAGATGACTCTCTGCAGTTCTTGAATGATGAACAAGAAATCTGACGACAGACGTGAGAAGTGCACACAAGTCCCTGCGGTGCTCCGGAGCGATGTTACGTGGGGGTGTCTAGGGGTACCTGCTCTGGGGGCGGCGGGGGGGAGGGTGGAGCTCGGATCCTACTGGTATCATGTCTCCGGCGAAGCAACCTTCAACTCCCTTGAAGCGAACACCCTGTAGCTGCCACGAGGCCACTAGCTCCAACACCTCAAATCCCAGGTCCTGCAATCCTACAGACACTCACAGCGCTAGAGTCGTATTTTCACCAGCACCCCAAACCTTACAGCCTTACAACCCCCGTTGCTCTAATCTCATGCCCCGAAAACCCCGTAATTCTGGCGCACCCAAATCCCAAAGCCCCTGACACCCCCTCCACCCCTCCCCCCATTTGCCTGTGAACTTCTTGCGCAGTTCCGGATCCTGCGTCGCCACGCCCACAGGGCAGGTGTTCAAGTGGCACTTCCTGGATGGCTTCGCGGCTTCATGTCGGTTGAAATCAAGGCCCTTCGAGGTCGGGCAAAGGGCTAGAACTCTAAGACTCTAAGACTCTAAGGCTTGTTGTTTTTCCAGGCTTGGGGCTGCGACCATCTTCGGAGAATTCCGGACGCCGCTGTGCCCCGCAGAAAACTGTCGAATACCAGCTGACTTAAAGGTCTTGGTTGCAGTTCGGGACGCAAGAACGCCAAGCAGTTGGTGATCTATGTTTTCTCGGGAGTGAAGGCAGGGTAACCTGCTCGGTTTCAAATCCTTCGGAGTTTGCGGGCTCTTGTTCCCTAGAGCGTACAGTGCTCTAAGCCCTAAGCACAGCTGATTTCGATGTCCTGAATCACGTGTGTTAACCTTCAATTCCAAAATCCAAGCCTCGACCCGCAGTCGGGAACCTAAACCATAAGCCAAACTCCTACCACTACCATCTGAAGGTCGTGAACCATGAACTCGGACTGTTCAATCATAGACCTAATCCCAAACACCTGGCAACCTCACGCCACCAAAACAAAAAAAAATAAACAAGTGGAAGAAGCCCACACCATCTCAGTTCATTACCTGGAAGCTTACTAGCACCGCACGAACCTAATCTCATGTCTACCTAACCCTAAGCAGCCTCATCATGATGCATCCGAGGGTGATGAGCGGAGCAGTCGTCATGGCAATCTCCTGTCACGTCGGAGCTCAGAGCTTCGTAGGAAGCACTCAATGGCAATAAGCCGCCCACGGCGACCACCACGACTTCGTACTACTCCCGCTGCTACTGCTCCCGCTCTGAAAACACCTGTACCATACATGCGCTGCCTCGGCACCCAGCATGGCCGCGATCACAACATCCCGACCTGTTCGCACCTGCGTGCCGGCTGTATAGTTCGGCTTTTCAATCACAACTTCCGACAGCCCCGCCGAAGCTCAACACCGTAAGCCTGCGTTTGAACCAGCACTGGGGGAGCAAATCAGCTTACAAACACGCTCATGCCCAAAAAACACCTGGAGGGGTCAGTTCATTCAGCGAGGCAAGCCTAGGTGAGTTTCTGGCAAGGATTGTACGATGTTGACATGCCGTCACGTGCAGCAATCTCATCCAGCAAGCCTAAACCAACTCTGTTGCTGCATGTTCCTGGCTCTCCAAAGCCTTGCCGATTGCTCTCATCATCTCTGACGCTACGACCTAGACCGTGGTCGTCATCTTTCTTGACGTCATTCCTGTAGCAGTACAACTCACTCTGATAGCTCCGGTGCCCTGAGGGTCACATTGATTCCCAATATCGACATCGCAACGATCATCGTGAATTCACTTGCTGTCGCCGCCATAAGTGTCGTGAACACCAGCACCGTCGCCGTCTTCGCCTATTGAAACCGTCAGATACGAATACAAGTGCAAGTGGTGACCTAACAACACCACACCCCCTTTGCCCCTGCGCTGCACCTGGCCATCTGTTTGCAAGGTCACTCGGTTACCTGAAGGCGAGCGGTCGGGCGGATCTCGATTGCAAACTTCTGGGGCTGTCAGTTCGGAGACTTCGGCCTGCAGGACATCCTCATTGAATCTAGGGCCCTCGGTGTGGTCACAGGGTCACAGTTGACGGGGAGGACCTGGCACTACTTATTCAGAAGGAGCCTGCGACCCCAAATCCCCCAAGGATTGAACTCTAAGCGCTGACGTCAAAAGCCCCGAAACCAACAGCTTGTCTTCGAAAACCTAAAGACCAAAGCCCTCAAAACGCCGGAAGCTCAAAGCCTGTGACATATTCCAGCAAGAAACCGGTTGAGAATTCTTGGAAAAAAGCTCCAAGCGTACCCTACCCCCAAACCCTAAACGCAACAAGCCTGGCGAGGGTTCGAGTTCGAGCGTGCATTGAGAGACAAAGTCCTGTCGGAAGAAGGGCACCAGCACATATCACTGGCATGTAGAAACCGGCGACAGGGTTTCACCACAACGATGACCCTAAACGCCAAACCCTAAACCCAAAGCTCTCAAAACGAAACAGCGCTGCAACCTCCTGCGCTCGAGCGAGGTGCGAAGGCCCCTTATAAACCCTAAGCCTTCAAACCCTCAAACCCCAAAACCTACCACACGCCCCCCGAAGCTCATCCAACCCAGGCGCGGAGGCCGTTGAGGACCAAGGTTTGGTGCGTCTCCGCCAGGCCGATCTCCCAAGGAAGGCCTTGGCGTAAGCAAAAACGGGCCCTTCATACGGCAGACCGTGGTTTCATTAAAATGGGATGCTTAAAGTTAAGGGGTCCATCAGGGATCTAGAATAGTTGCCAGCGAATTCTCAACCCCCACCCCCGGCAAAAGCAATTTAAAGAGGCTTTGTAAACAGTTCTCGACTTCCCTAATCGAGCCAGGGTTTTTTTTGAAGGAACCTATTTTTAAAAACTAAAGAATTTTATTAAAAACCGAAAAAGATTTTAATAAAATCTATTTGTAATCTTATTTCCTCAAAAAGCGAGTTTTTATTAAAAACCGAAAAGATTTTAAAACCGCTGCAAATTCAAATGTTCTTCAATGGAAAATCTACCGGTTACCCAGAAACTTGGGCGATCTTTTAAAACCTCAGGGTGGGGGTGGGGGGTGTAGGTTGGCCGATGAAATAGGATTCTATATAGACCAGTCGTGAAAAGATTAGAATAGGGTTTTGGGGCACGTTGCAATACAGTTCTAGTAAGGAACCCCTCAAAATAGTATAAGATGCTTATTCAGGCCCCTACTTTATAGGGGTGTCCAGAACGACGATTAGCGGAGGGTGGCTTAAAGGGTTCCGTTTGCCAGGGCTCCTTTAAATGCTTCATTCAAGGTGCTCCTTCTAGGGCCTCCATGAGTGACAACAGGCCTTTGCAGTATACTGTATACTTTAGTACCAACTACAGACGGACTGTAAGGTGACATTGCTGCTAATTATCCCAACCCTGTGGCTCAGGTTTTGGGAGTTTAGCACACAGCTTCAAGCCCCGGCCTTCGACACCAACCCAGAACTAGGCATGATCCGAGCACTCGCTATGGGCACCCTACTAACTTGAAGCCAAAGTACCGCAGTGCTTGATGGAACCCCACTTCGCGGCGCCGGTACCACCGGACATGCCCGAGATGGTGAGGTGGTCCGCCTTCCGGAGAGGGGCTTGATACGACTACTGAGCCCAATTAAGGGATTATCTCACAGGTAGCTTAGGCCCTACTAGCTAAATCCGTGATACTATGTTTAGGGGCTGTGGCTCATAGCACAACAGACCGTGGTCCACTTATGACACCAACCACAGGATCCTCACCCAAAGCCCAAGACTCCAATCTGGGACCCGGAAAGCGAGAAACCCTGAACCCGAAAAACCTAAAGCCGAAGCTCACCGTTGCACTCTCTGCTGCATTATATATCCCAACTTGCCAGCCTCACACATCCCGCACGCCGCACGCAGGCAACAAGGAGCCTTGCCCTTCACGACGCCGGAGGCGATGACGCCAATGCCAAGTCGGGCCACCAGCTTCACCTGGGGGGCTCCCAGAACTAGGAACCTGAGTGGGCTATGGCTCTCACACCTGGGGGACTTAGCAGGTAATCCTCATTGTCATCTGGGATGTCTTGCTTGAGTGCTGTTGACGGCATTGCGGCTAGCTTTAGGTCTTTACGAGTATAAAAGAATTGGGCTTCAGCGATTTTGGATACGGGCCTTTAGTTTAGCTCTTTCAAGGACCAGTTGGCGCAGGAGGAAGGGCTCTAAATCATGAGAACGGATAAAACAAAAATCAAAGGCAGCTTGCTGAAACAACCCGTAACTGCCGCGGGAGCGCGGAGATGCGTGCTGCTGGGTTGGCATTCTTCAGATCCTGCATGGCATTCAGCACAGTCTACACAACAATCTACGGAAGAGCTTCGTCGATGAACTGGCTCTGCTGATCTTATGCGTCCACTGGCTGTTTTGTTATCTACCTCTCTCTCTCTCTCTCTGTCTCTCTCTCTCTCTCTCGCTCGCTCTTGTTTCCCATGCCTCGCCAAATTACAGTCAAATTAGACGCTCATAAACTCCACCATCACCCGCTCGCAAGCAAATCAACTCCGGCTTCTGACAGCAGAACACGTCATGAGGACTGAGACACTGCTGCAACCGCGCGAAGCAACTAAATTCATCAGTAGCAGCTATTGAGAATAATCTTGGACTCTCAAGACCTTCTGCTTTAGATTTCAGGCACTTCTCAAACTCTGCAGCACATTAACCATCGACTCCGGCACCACCGCATTCCCCGGCCAACCCTGCAGACAGGCCAACCCCGCAGCAGCTCCAACATGAGCCTTGATCAGCTGCGCCACGTCCTCGATCGAGTACATGTCCTGAGATTCGGAGGAGGCCTAGCAGCCTAAGGATCCTAAGGTCTAAAGTCTTATGACTCATCAACCATGCTCTCGTGATTCGTGTCGTCGGCCTAATTTGTGCGGATGCATCTAGTATTCTTGACTTTCGTTGAAAATTCGGAAGCAGCTACAACATCCGCCGAGCAGCGTGGTGAGGAGGCGGGGAGATCAAGCCCACGCCGGGCGTGGCTTTGCGGGTTTCGGCAATCTTGCCGATGACCTGCTAAAGACATGCGTAAAGCCCTCGAGACGGAGATAACACGAAAACAAGAGAATCCAAACAGCCCGCGTCATAGAGAGCCCAGCAACATGCACTGTGACTTTCTCCTGGCTTTGGCTGTTGCGGCTGCTCTGGCGATTGGCTCTCAGACGCGGCTGTATTTCTGCACATAGACTCCGAGCCCTAAATTCCCAAATCCCAAACCTAAACCCTAGTCCCTACACATGGAACGCATACTAAGTCTAAACCTCTTGCCTTCTGAGGTCTTCGTATCGAACCCCACTAAGCCTCACCAACCTTGTTCTTCTCATAGTTCGGGGCTGACCGGGCCTGTAAACCGGGAATTTAATATAACTGCTGAGCCCTGAAGTCCCTGAAGTCCGTCAGGGGACCCCCTGGGCCCTGAGCCTTGTAGCCTGGCAGCTCACCTCCTTCTCCCGGTTTCGCGCCCTGTGGAGTTCTGCAGACGGAGCGTTCGGGCCCCAAGTCTTCGGGTCTTCTCAGTCATTACCTGCATTTCCTGTTTGGGGGCTCGATCCCTGAGTCTGAAACCATTGTTTCCTGGCTATGTTTGGGGCTCAGGATTTCTGAGGGGGCTGTGCACGTCTTCCCACGAATCTACATGCATTACAAGCCTTCGACTGAAGAACCGCAAGTCCATTTAATCAAGAGCTCCCGCGTGATCCTAAGCCACACATCTAATTATCCAGTCCTTTGTGATCATCCTTAAAGCAGCGAAGCATCTAGTCTAGACGAAGGCTTCTTCTCAATCATGCAGGCACGTGGAAGTTAAAGCTTTGCTGACGGCCATCAGCTCCAATCCCCAACTCGAGCCACAGTAACTGATGGGTCGTGGCTGAGCTACAAGAAGTGCGGATAAGGGTGCTTCGAACTAGACCCGACAGCTTGATCAGTCCATCAGCCAGGGAAGGGCCTAGGCAAGTTCCCTCAGCTCTCCATACCTTCAGCCTCTAACCCTCAGTCAGAATAGGGCCACGGATATGGTGCTGTCGGAACTGTTTGGATATGTAAAGGCCCGACCTGCGCCAGCTTGATCTGCAGCTCCTGCTGATGTTGAATATCATTCGTCGGGCTTCAGGGTAGCAGAAGAGGCGAGTCACAGAACATGCTTTTTCTCTGCGTAGGCCCTGCTTTGTCCGAAGCAGTGGGGCAGACTCGAAGCCAAACTTGTCAAAGATCTTTCGAGCATTCGAAGCTTCCAAGATCTTCCAAGCCTAGAGTCCTTGAGGATAAGAGATGGCGGCCCTGATCCATTCCTACATGTGACAGTGATCAAAACCTCATACGGCCGCTAGCCCCCAAGCTGGCTGTGCCTTAACGTTGCGCTGCAACTGGAGGTGCCTCTGCAAAGTATTACTGCCGGGCATCTCGATCATCTTGCTCGCCCGCACAACTCGGTCAATCCAAGCCCAGGCAGCGTCGACATCGGCCAACGCCGCAGCGAACTGGAAGCCGTCGTAGCAGAAGCGCTGCTCGATCACAGGCATTTGGAGCTGTTCGGCCTGGTACAGCTTCTCATACTCCCTCACCAGCTTCAGACCGTGCCTTGCATCAACCGCGCCCTCTTGCAAGATGCGCTCGTCTAGCCCCTGCATCTGCAAACGTCTTTGATCTGATGTTGGCCTCAGCAGATGGCATTGAGCATGCTTCACAGGCACAATCGAAGCCGAAGGGCTCGCGAAGCTCTGCCTGCCTCTCTGCACGAGTTGCAAGGACCTCCTTATAGGCAATACAGATCTCCTCTCCGCAGTCAATGTCACGACAGGCATACAATCGCAAGCGATTCTGCTCACGATCAAAATTGCGATACGCATTTGGCCTGCAAGAATGGTTGACTCTACTGCTCAAAGTGAACAAAGCTCCTAGCATGGCACCTGCACCCTTGCCAAAGGAATTCGTCATGAACGCACCATATGGCGTCTTCTTACCAAGCTCTGATTCGTACCGATCATAGAGGGACATGATGACAGACTGCTTTTGCTTTGGAAGTTTGCGAAAAGCCGCTGTCACCCCACGAACAGCAACCACCGTTACCTGCGGCCGCAGTTTCTCAAGCATCCGTGCAGGCAGACCACTTCCGACCTCAACTTTCAAGGGGTAGTGCTCTGCAAACCATGCCTCTGCAGGTGTTGCCGTCGGATTGCCCTTCGCAGCTTCCTGCAAGAGCTCCGCACCATTCAGCCCTGGGTCCAAAAGAGGCTCCTCCATCAAGATGGTGTCGCCACGCGGAATGTCACGGCTTGCGACTGCCCCAAATCCACGCCCTGGCAGCTGCCGAACGTCAAAACAAGGACCTTCCGATTGGCTCACATCGTCCTCAGACTCGGAGGGCGCAGGGGCTCCTTTTAGAGCTGGGTGTCCACGCCCCTGAGAGCGCATCATCAGAGCCATCAAGAATGAGTCCATACCCGACATGGATGAGGCGCGTGTATGCTTTCCAGCCAAATGCTGCACCACGCACTTGGAAGCCTCAGCAATCTGATGGCCTCCAAAGGAGTTGTTTGGCCACGATTTCTGACGCGCCATATCGCGGAACATCTTCTGCGTGTTGCTGTCGATGAGCGTCATGGAGTTGTTGTCAAAACTTCTCATTAATGAAGTCAACTGCCATGTGCATGGGCGTGTCGTAGTCCGGCCACACGGCCCAGAAGCCACGCATCATGACGTGCAGCAATTTGTTGCCATCCGGGCGCGATCGGTCAAGGCATACATTGCACTGCTCAAGCCGGAGTCGGACAGCGCTTTGAACTTAACTGCCATCATCGGGCCGGGCGTGTGGGGCATCAAGGACGTCGCCTTGAGCAGATCCCAGTCAATCGCTTCAAAGCGTTGGACAACTTTCTTGTACTTCTCCACACGCTCCATGTTGAAATCATCATCAGCATCGCTCTCATATTGCCTGCATCTCCTGGTGAAGCGCTTGAAGTCAAAGCTTCCGTAGTCTCGATGAGCCTTGACATCATCGGGGCTGGGATTGTTCAATGGAAGTCAACTTGCACGAGCATAACCTGGGTTGCTGTGAGAAGCCTCGAACTAAGTTACCTTAATCTTGGCATATAGTAACTGATTAAATACTAGGGGTGCCTTGTTGTAGTAAGCCTAAACAACCTTGACCCTAAACAACCTTAGCCCCGGAACTCTCACCCCTTCATACCCTTATTAAAACAATTTAACTCAAGTTCCTTTTCACGGTTGTTACAGTATTATAGTAACTTAACCCAAACAAACTCCTTAACCTCGGTCCAGCAACCCTGCCGCCCGAAGGACTGCCTCTGCTCTTCAGCCTTCACTGGAGGCACAATTAGTTTCCATGAGCTGGGGAACCCAATGTAAACCGCAAAACACTATGCTCCTTATTGTTGGGAACCTCAAAAGGTGCACCTGATTTGGGCAACCCCCCTAATTGTTGTGCTATGAAGTCTTGGCGCCTCTTCCACACATGCCACGGTTTCGACCGGCGCCACTGCTGGTGGCCTCTGCTCTTCAGACTCTCTCGCCCGCTGCTTGAGCGCACGCCTCACGGCATGTACACTCACTCCTAGCCGGGACGCGATCTCCTTCTGTGAAAGATTCGGCTTCTGCGAAGACTACAGATCTCGTCAGCCTGTGAGCTGGGAGGCCACAGCCGCTAAACTACGCACGCATCTGAAACTCCACAGCTGCAGAGCACGCAGCAATTCAACAAACCAACGCAGACACAAACTGACCTGCTTCTGGCTGTTGCTTCCTTCAGATGTGCAAATGTGTGAAACAGCACGCCAATTTGGAGTTGCAGCTGATTCTAGACCATGAGTCTGCCTGTGACAATCAAGCCTCTTCGGATCGGACGCATGTTGCCTACCTTAACACCATGTCAAGGGTAACCTCGATCTCCATAACTGGGGCTGTGCAGATTTAGACTTCCGCTAGGTTTGTGGATATGATTATGGGCTTGGAGATTGGGGCGTCGAATTCGGGGATTCTATTCTTCATACCCCCATCGACCCGAGCCCCCCGGCCCCCCCCTGGGAGAGCCCTCGGATCCTCTGCATTGGCCAGGTACTCCGCGGTGACACCGAAGCGGCCGGAGGCCACCTGAAGATACGCTTTGGCTTTACAACATGAAGGATTCCCTGGGGTGTCATAATGATTCTCTCTCAAAAAACTAGAGGGTTTCCCAAATTTCGTGGGACTTACCAAATTCTTTCGAAGGTCATTTTTATGAAGGGCGTTTTCACGAGGTTTGTTGTCAAGGCTTTCTGTGCGGTTTCATGCGGTTTGAGAAGCTTTGCAGATTAAGCCTTTCGATTCAAGAGCTAAGGGATGAGGGCTCAAGGGTGGCTGTCGAGGGCTCAGGGCTTAATGTTACGGAGGCCAGGTGTGGGGTTCTTGATGTTTGCGATCTCGAGGGTCAGAGTGTGGTAGATCTGCCAAACTCCTGATTAGATGTCCTAGCTGCAGCTACGTCGATGCTTCCTGCGATGGTCTAAGCTCAACAAGTTTCAGGTTCAAGTTCAAGATACACTGTAAGGCTTGGTAGCTCACATCCAGCCTTGAAGCTTTGAGTCAGTAGAAACATGATGTGTCGAAGGAGGGAGTTGAAAGACTCGGGTTGGGGGCGCAAGCAGGGCTCAGCATTTAGAGTCCAAAGACTCTGATTTCAAAAAGCATACGGCTCTAGGCAGTGCATCTAATGCCGTAACCAAAGTAGAGCACCTGTGCTGATCGAATCAGAGAGGTTTTGTAGTCATTGAAATATGGACATCTACGCGTAGGCCCTGATACCCAGAGGCCCTGACCCCTAATCCAGGGCTTCGCCGAGCGGTACCTCCCCTGAACTTAAGCTGGATCGAGGAGGTGCCTGCTTGATCTTCGAGCGGAAGGAGTCTCCATTGACGATGTCCCACTTGGCTCCGCCGGCCTGTTTTTTCAGGGTTGCGTATGGAGATGCGTCCCAAGAGGCTGAAAGTTATCTGCTCCCAGACCCAATGACAGACCGCAGTGCAGCGAAGTTTGGTGCTTGCGGCTGTTATCTCGAACATCTCAAGGCGTCCAGAAGCTCATGCTCCGGTCGAGAAAATGGGTTTCGGAAGTTGTCTTTGCAAATCTCCCTATTGCCCGAATCTCAATGCCCTAAACTCCAGCTACTGCTGGTATGAGGCTTTTGCTGCAGCAGTGAAAAATCCACAGAAAAGCCCGACATCCCAAAGCCCTACAATGCTATCCACTAGGTGCTTAAATCCGCTTGAATCCGCAAGCCCGCCGCCTAAACTGCGAAAGCTCTGTATATCCACAAGCCCTTGAAGTCCATGAGGCACCGCGACAGGCCGATATAATTATCGCTATTGTTGTTCTTCTTGTTGCATTATGTTACGTCCCTCCCCAACCTCGAACTCGCCCTTCTCGAGCTGTGTGAAGCGCATCGGGTCCTGTAGGAAAACTCGGGGATCGTGGTTTTGCGTTACTGCCACTGCTACTGCAAATGTCAGTACTATTGCCACAGTTGCAGCTACTGCCTCACCTACTCCCCTCTGCTAAAGAAATGGGCTCGATACCCACATTGCTCCCGCTGGTTACAGCTGCTGGTTGCCTCCGCCACACGAAACTCTGAACTTCAGAACCCTCACGCGCCATTCGTTCAAACCCGAGTGGACCCTACATGGATAGTCAAGAAGAAGGACGCCCTGAACCCCTTTCAACCCGATGGAGACGGCTGCAGCACAGTTTGGCACATCCTCTCCTCGCCGCCCTCACCGGTGTTGCTCTTGCCACCGATGCGGTTCATGGCGACGGCCATGGCCCGGTGGGCCTCTCAAGCATCTCCCAAAAGGGAGACATGGGCTTGTGGGGTTTCGGGCTCCAGGGCAAGGGGCTTAGAAATAAAAGCTGCCCACATTTTGGGTGAAGTACGCAGATTACAGCTGATATGTTTGCTGACGTTTTTGTCGTACTTCAAAGCTTCCGACGGTGCTGGTTGTGTTTAGGGTTGTAATCTTGAATACCAGGTACTCATTGGAAACTAATGCATCATTTCTGAGATTTTTTGAACATTGAATTGAGACGGGGCTTGTTCTGAGATTTGAGAAAGACTTGAGAGGATGTTTGAGAAGAGGAAATAATTGAGAGGATATGGGAAGAAGGAACTTGAGAGGAGAGAAAACTCGAGAGGATGTGGGGAGAGTGAACTTGCGGGGAGAGAAAATTTGAGAGGATATGGGGAGAGGGGATTTGAAAGGAGATTTCAATCGGTCCGGGTCATACTGCTCTAGGCCTCTAGGCTGTCGGACACCATGTGACGCCAAAAATGTGTGCTGAGTGAGGTGAGGCTAATTCTGAGCTGCAACCCCGAAATTACCCACTTCCTCCGACATCTGTCATCCGACGCAAGCCGAACCGGTCCGCTAGCTGCTAGCGTCCGAATATACGTGAACCGGCAAGGAAACCCTCCACTTCTTTCAAAGTCCGTTTCCAATATCTTCTCGAATGTTTCACTCCCCTTCACGACTCATTGCTTACTCACTACTCTCAACGTACGTCTCCCGCATCCTCTCTTTTTCTCGCCTCTCAAATTCTCTCTCCCATATTATCTCAAACTTTCTCTCCTCTCAAATTTGCTGCATATCCTCTCCTCGCGGGCGGGCTTTGGGGCATATGTTTAGGAGCGGCTTTTGGGAAACAGACAGACAGACAGACACACACACACACACACAACGCGTACGTACATTACAAACACACATACATACATACACACATACATACACAGACACATACATACATACATACGTACGTACATACGTACACACACATGCATACCTGCATACATGCATGCATGCATGCAGCATATGCATGCCTACGTACTTCGTACTTATATAGGTACATATGAACAGTCATGCATGCGTACATGCATGCGGGCACGTGGATGCAAACTCTGTACGTTTGCTCAGACCTCCCTCTCAACGTCTTCTTCTCTCAAAACTCCCTCTCCCCTCAAATTCCTTCTCACCATATCCTCTCAAATTTTCTCTCCTCTCAAATTCTCCCCATATCCTCTCAAATTGTGGCATTCTAACAGCCAACTAAATGAGGAAAAGCGCAGTAGACAAAACACACACACACACACACTCATGTTCCCGTTTGGATATCTCACTCTGCTCTGCACTTCGAGAAAATCTTGAGCCCCGAAGGCCACAAAAATCTTCTCGTGTTGGGAGATCGGTTCACGCCCAGCCCTCAACGTGGAAGCCTAAACTACAGGCACCTGAAGTCAGAACAATTTGGAGACCTGCTGACAAATTGAAGTTTTGCCCGAAGAAGCTTCCGGCTGGGCGGGCTTGGGGTTAAGATGGGATGCGGATAAGTATTCCGGTCGGAGTTGGGGCTCGCAGGGTCGTGCAAAGGCGCATGAAGAAGGCTGGTGTTCCGATTCAGGTTGCGGTGTTCAGTTGTGGTTTAGCAGGCCCTTTCAGCTTGGGGATGTGCGGAGCAGGCTGAAACTTCAACTCCGAAATTCTTTAAAGACTTGACGAATGCTTGAAGGTATCCTGCATCCTTGCAGGCATTCATTCATGCCCGATCTTCTTCTTGGCAAGTGTAGCTATCCCCCTTTAGCCGGAATCCGATGGAAGGACTGCTTTCAGATCCAATATACTAAACTTTCAATCGTCAAAGCAAGCACGGTGATTAGTAATTGCACGGGCTGTGTGGCTTATCGCAGTCGCGGTACCCAGGATTAGGCCAACAACACCTGCATAAAACAGAAAGATCCACAGACTTTACATCGGAACCTCGTCGGAGATGGATCCGAAGGAGGCGGCGCCGGTGCAGAAGCGCTTCACCTCAGTGGGGCTTCGAGTTTAGGAATTAAGGGCTTGTGGGTTGCGGAGAACAAGTACAGAGTGGGGTACTTGCTGTCGCTATCATTACATCACACCCATCACCCTAAAACCAAAAACGAGAACCTAACCAGTATGATGACAATGATACTGTTGTTGATGATGACGGTCAGCATCATCATCATACACTAACTATTTTAATCGCCAGATCCCGCTCTAGAATACATGAGCAGTGTGAGTACCACATTGCTACGAGAACGCACATTCAAAGGATCACGCTTCTGAGACTCCAAGCTGAATCTTTTCTTACAGCCTGCATCCTGGTCGTGATGCGACGCATTCGCCCTTGTAAGGTTTTTAGGCCTGGCCGAACCTCAAAGCCGCCGAAACGAAAGACCCCCCCCCTAAACCCTACTATAGGGTCCTTAACAATCTGCACTTTGACCTTATTGGGGGTTCGTCATATACCATAACATTACTGAACTTTTTGAGGCCCCTACATTACCAAGCCCCCCTTGGAGCTTGAAGCCTCAAATCTCGTCTATCCGCCAGTTCCTGCCACTCAGGGCCACACGATCTCCACAGCTGGCTCCACCTTTCACAAGACCAAGCAGGTAATCGAGACGACAGACATGAAGAATCGGCGTATTCTCGGGCCGTAGTCCACAACAACAAGAGGCAGGTCTCGCTTTGGGGGGCAATGGCCTTGCAATGGAAGAGACTGGGTTTAGGCTCAGAGACGCAGAGGTTGCCTCGAAGACTCTGGATGAGATTCCGGCTTACCTTCCTGAACCTATCCTCCAAGCTTATGGAGGGAATTGTGGACCGACAATCCCGACACAACCCTCCGGAGAGGAGAAGCAAAGAAGGAATAGCTCCAAAGAAGAGACATCACGATTAACAACCATCATACTAGCAACAGCACGACAAGTTCTGTGATTCTGTGATGCCTTTCAGTTTATGAACTCCGAAATGGATTGTGTAAGTCGTGTTTATTCTACCCCTAGCGGCTCCGGCTACTGGTCTTCGAAAAAGGCAAGCAATGACAATGCATGGCTTGCCTTCTCCGCAGCCATCATCTAGTCATCATCCTACTTACATGACCCAGGAAGCGTGAACCGGAACCCTTCGCCTTAAACGCTACACCACGCTGACTGCCCTTAGAAAGCCGTGACGGGGTGCCTCGGAGATGTCAATCGGGTCGCACTCTTCGGACAGGAATTCGAGCTGTCCACGAATCTCCTGCACCAGAAAAATGTTTCACGCTGGGTGCTGCGCATGCGTTGAATGCTTAGAGCTTGAGGGGGTCATAAGTGCAAGAGCTAGCAGCTGGGGTGAGCAAAGGCTCAATTTTGCTTGCCAGGGTCAAAGCGAAAAGAAGACATACCATGCGAAGTCCCGCGAAGGGTCTTATCATGGTGCAAGAGTCTGGTCGGACCCTTTAGCCAATCTTTCTTCAGATACGGGATGTGCATCATGTATGAGAGGTGGAGGCATCAGTTCTGAACTTTTACGACAGATACCAGTGCTTACACCAGCTGGAAACCTCTTAGGGTTGGAGGCCGTTAAGTTTACAAGTGCTTCTTGCAAAAGATTCAGATGTGCAGCATCACTCGAACGGCTGGAATTCAATGGCTCCTGCACCCAGAATGCTTGATGAGACAGAGATGGCTTACTGTGGGACAGACATGCTATAACTGTCCACCAAGGACACATCTGCCAAGTGTTGCCGTCATCAGTATCGTCATCGTGCTCCTCGTAACGGTCATAATACTCGGGGAATGTGAAACCTCAAGCCCGGTAGTTCATCACCCATCGAACCCAACAGCCTTGAACCAGCAACCTTACTGATGATGGTCTTAAAGGCAAGTGCTATGAATTTAGGGCTTCATTTTCCCAATGTTTTCATGATGGCTCTAGTAGATAATTAATCAGCGGGCAGTCCGTCTGCTCAGTGATCTTGTTCTGCCATGTGGAGAACATCTTGTAGGCCTGGCATCACGGCCACGAAGGATCCTTCTGGGGCTTATAGAGGTCTATATAGCCATGAAGTAAGATTATGCCCCCATCCCAATGTAGTTCGTAGACATGCATACTGCATATATATATATATATATATGTAAATATGTATATATATATATAGAGAGAGAGAGAAAGAGAGAGTTTGTAACGGGTCTGGGTTGACGGTTCAAAGGCAGACCTCGCCTTCAGAATTTGCGAGTGAGAGGGAAAAGTGGGCTAAGGCATCCGGGTTCGCCGTCTCGCTTGTAGTGGCCAAGTAGGCCCGCTCTGTCGATGCTTCAACCGTGGTCCTCTGCAATCTTGCCCTCTTGGCAGCTATGCTGCTGTGCTGCAAGCCTGCTGCCGAAAAGTAGCAAGCTCTTTGCACATCGGTGAGTCAAGCTTCTAACTTAAGATTCAAGATCAACGGTTTAGGGTTTTGAGGTTGAGGGCTTACGATTACTTTCCAGATTTGAAACGCTTCATGGCTGAACGAGCATTGCAGCATTGCATCTGCTGTCAAGTAGGTGCCATCTTCCATGGTCCGAAGTAGGGCACTCATGCCGGCCTTGTAGACGATTCTGTTGTCTTCATGGCCACGTGTTTCGGACGGCAAGATCCTGTCTGATAAATCTCTGCACGCACTGTCGGTCGACAATGTCCATGTCGTGGATCTTGTCCCAGCCTTCCTCAACGGGCATCCGGCCGTAGAACCTGAAGGATCCACCATACATCCTGACACAACGAACCAACTTTCTGTGACTCGCAAACCGTCGCAGCACAGATCCTAAGCTTCAGGTATCTGGCCTAGGATGTCGAATGATCCAACGCTGAAGGTGAAAGCGATGAACAAAAGATACCAACGCTGATGACGCAAGGCCCTCAACCCTAACCTTTCCCCGAACAACAACCGTTATCTTTTGAGGAACCCAAACCACTAAGCTCGGCGACCTTTCCAAAACTTTGAAACCCCCACTGCAACCCCAACCCCTCAAATCTGCAACCATAAACCCTAGGCCCTCAAGCCTTAAAGCAAAAAGCAAAGCCGCCTAAAGCCTCCAACCCTAAACCCCTAAACCCCAAACCCTTAAACCCCAAGCTCTAATCAAGTCCTAGAACCCCAGGCTCTCTAAACCAAACAAGCTCTCAAACCCCAAGCTGCGAGCTCCTGTCCCTTAGCTACTCCCGGCCTCAGTGGAGTTGGACCGTGCCGCCTCCTGCGGGATGAGGCTTTCAAAGTCTTAATTCGGGTTCATTGGTTTAGGGTTTAAGTTTAGGGATCATTGGTGTAGGGTTTAAGGTTTAGGGTTTAGGGGTCTCAGGGGCTATTGGTTATGGAGGGGTCTTGGAGGGATTAAGGCAAGGGCTTAGGGTTTTTGGTTATGTCTGGGTTTACAGTAGGGGTTTTAGAGGATAAGGCTCTTGGTTTTGCGGTTTGGATATTAAGGCTTGGGCATTTGGGAGGGGTTTTCGGCTGAAGCAGTCTTTGAGGTCTGAGGCTAAGCCTGCAAACGGGAGGAGCGGAAGGCTCGGAGTCTGGCCCTCTGGTTCAGGCTTAGGGATGAGGGTGGCGGGGGGTGCAGGGGCTCCCAACTGAAACCCTTATCCCATTGACCCTGGAGTTCCAAACATTTAAGCTGACTCTAAACCGCAAAACACGATATCCCAAAGGCCCGAAACCCGAAAATCAAAAGGGGCTCCTGCATCTTGTAGATGACATCCGGTGTGTTCATGTGGATCTCGGTCTCGTGGATGCTGCGGAAGTGATACTCGCCGAAGTCCTGGCGGAGATATTGGGCAGACAGTTCCGGTGGTTCGCGGCATTTCGGGGTCAACATGACGATGTGATGCGGCTTTGCCAACACTCTGAGAATCGGGAGATGCAGTGCACAGGGGGGCAGTGGGCTGCAGAACTCTGGCCAAGCTTTCCCGGTTGAACTTGCTAGCAGAGCCCCAAACTCCCAAATTGAATCTGCAGTCCAAAGCCCTAAGATCCCCAAACCATCATCTATGTCTGACTCCCGACCTGCAACCCAAACTTCGGAGCCTCAATCCCTGGCCCTGAGCCCTATCATCCTGAAGTCTTAAAGAAATATCGAAGCCCACAGTTAACCGCACACCTCAAGCCATGAACCCTTCAAACCTCTAGATGTTGACATCTAGTTCTCGAAGGCCTCCAACTCTTCCACCTCGTTGTCGACAAGAGGCGGCTGAGGCCTGGTGACCAAGCGCTGCTCAGTGAGGCTTCTAGGGCTAGGGCTCTAAGGCTTCACGGCCTAGCGCACTTAGGGCCTTGTACGTAGGATTTAGGGTGCTCAGGTTCCTAGGCTTCAAAGCGGACAGCGACCCGGCAGTGCAAACTGTGCAAACCTCAGCTCAGACAAGCTAAACGCCAAATCCTGGTCCTGAGCTCTACTCTTGTATAGGTATGTTTAGAAATACATGCATGTATGTATGCATGTATGTCTGTATATAATGCTGTGTCTACATAATATTATATTATAATATCGACCATGGAAGCCTGAAGCTCTAAAACCCTAAACCCCGGGAGAAAGTGATGCCTGTCTGGGAAGGCCATCTTGTGCAACTCCATCGCATCCATCTCGAAGATGTTGAAGCCTGTGAGGCTTTTTGGGTTGCGAATTGAAACTTTAAGGCTTCTGGGTATGACATTTAAGGGGATCCTGACAGACATGGGAATGTGACTGCATTGCATCCAACGACGCGAATTTCCGAGACGGTATTGTTGTCAGTGCGATCGTTGTCGCTCTCTTTAAATCCTGCTGATGAAGACACTGTCCACGGTACTGCCAAAGGTTGAAGGCATAAAGATGTGCACATACAAGCACACCTTGTTTCCTTGCAGAACACTGCGAGTCGCCGCAGAATTGCACAGCCACCAAGGGCCACGTCCATTGCCCAGAATGTGCGGTGATTGGCCCATGGAAGCTCGACACGCAACAGGATGCAACTTGAGCTGGCTACGTATTACGGCCAGGCGATTCGATTTCGCGGCTTTGACTTGCAAGTCATTCGCTTTCCAGTTTAGAGCTGTGATGAGGGTTTAGTGCATGCAGCTTCAGGACGCAGTGAAGGCGCTGCCTGAGATTTTCAGTGCTCTGTGGGGATCAGATCTTCAGGGCTGTCGAAAATTTGGAATTACGGTATCTCACAGTCCGCGAATCAGGACTCGGACTGTCGGGCGTGTAATAATTGGGCCTTAATAATTAGAATAGGGTTTTGGGGCCCATGATACTCTAATCATGAAAAGGAACCCCCAAAAATAGTATTGGTAATTGATGAGGCCCCTCTAGTAGCCCAGGGGTGTTCCCCCCGGCCTGCACCATTCAGCACGAACTTGCATCCAGTGAAGCACTTGGCGATGACTTCCTCCCGCCGATTTCAGGTTCGGAAAGCCATGAAATCTCAACCCCAAAACCACAAAGAAACTCCGAGAGATGCAAGTCGTGCTCAAAGTCTGAAGTAAGCTCCATTATTGAGGTCGTCTGGAATAACTTGGGAATCGACTGACACTCCAGCACAAGATGTGAACAGACGATTTTTCATTTTCCTCCCACAAACACGAACCAACCCCAAATCCCGAACACCCCAAGCCCCAGAGCACCCGCAACACCCCAAGCCTCAAACAATCCCTGAAGCCCCAACGCCCACAAGGCACAGGCACAAAAAAAAAACTGCAGCCCTTACACCTGAAGCCTTAGACTTTTCAGAGAACCTTTGCCAATATGACGATAATAGATCACGTCGTTTTCCCTTCAAAGCAGATTCCGCCGGCCGCCTTGTCCATGCCCACGGCCTGGAAGAGCTGAGCGCCCTTGTAGCTCTGGAGGCAGGAGATTCCCATCTTGCTCATGACCTTCAAGATGCCTCAGAAAAGAAAGAGGCTCCCTTTGCTTGGGGAGTGCTTCGGGGTGTAGAGTGTAGGATTTAGGGCTTAGCCTGTCCCCTAAACCCTTTTGGGAGCCTTTTGAAAGGATCCATCATGGTCTCAGGGCTCCTTCAATGGTCCCTTTAATGGTTCCTTACTTGGGGGCTTCATCTAAGAATGCCTCTGAAAGGAGGACTTTAAGGGTTCCTTCAGCGGGTTTTGCGGTTCATTTAGTCTTCTCGTAGAAAAAAAAACCTCCAGCAGAAAAAGGGTGAAGGGTACTGCCGGCAGACCGAGGGTTTTTCGTACAGGGGCGCGACATAAACCTGCCTTTGATGTTTTTGCTTGCTGCACTGATCATCAAGGGGCCTGCAAAGCCAGAACGGTATGGACATATCAGAGACAAATCTTCGCAGCCTTTTCTTTTTGCTGGACTTTGTATAAATCCCGCAAACATGTCTGGAAGCCAACCTGCAAAGCCTTCTACAAAACACGCCTCACCACTCAAAGCTTCAGCTCTTGCTCTACAGCCTGCAAACGAGAAGACTTTCATTCAAACCGCCTTTGATGCCGAAGTGCCTGACAAGCTCTACAGAGCCTCATAGCCTCAAAGCCTCAACAGAGCCCGTGCACGCGCACGCAGAGAGAGATCTCAGGCTCGGGCCTCCGTCGGAGGCCTTGCGGAAGTTCTCGATGCGCTGGTTCAGCCTCGTCCCGTCGCCGGCACTGGACTACTTTACAGTATGTTTAAGGCTTAAGGGTCCCTTGAGACAGTGTTTATTTACATAAGGGTTCTGTGAGGGTTTAGGGTTTAGGGTTGTGAGATTTAGGGGGTCTGTTCCAGGGCTTGCGGCTCAAGTCCCTCTAATCCGAAGCCCACCTTCGGCTGCTTCGCTCAACGCCCGATTTCGCTTCCGCTTCGGGCCGGGGCTAAATCAAGTGTATAATTAGCTTATACTATTAGCATATTGTGGCAGGTGTTTCACACTATACTGCAGGTTCACGGTTTGCATCTGGCCCAGGGTGATACTGGCTGAGAACCTGAGACATGATACGTACAAAACCATCATACAGTACTAGATAACACATAAGAAAGTACCACCCATTGCAGCAACGTATACCCATCACATACAGATTCTACAACACGGACCCGCGATTTCGGAGCTTCCATCGAGCTCAGAGTTTGAAGCTTTAGGATCTGACCCCACGCCATGCCTTATCGCATCCCATACAGCCCCTTAGCTGTTTGGAGGATGTGTCCGGCTCAGAAGCTTTGGGGCTCTGGGGAACAAGCCTTGGAGAGCCTTCATTGCCTCACGGACGCATTGACTTGAGGAGCTTCCAGATCTCGCAGGTAGCGAACACCTTGTCCCAAACCCTATAACTCACACAACAAAACCCAGGCCCCCAAAACCCGAAAGTGAATCCCAACGCCCCGCATCCCAAACGCTTACACCCAACATCTTCAATTGAGAAGACAGCTGAGAGCGGGACGGGAGGTCGGTGCCCCGGACACGTAGCAGGCTGAGGTAGCCTGATGCACGTTGGATGTTTTTGGCTTCAGGTTTTGACATAGGCGGTTCCGGGGTGGGCGGGAACCTTTAGGGCTCTGGGTCTGAAAGTCACGAGATCTTTTGCCAGCAGTTTTCAGCGTGAGCCCTATAAGTCCTAAAGTCCTACACGACAAAGACCAAGACCCCAACCCCAGCAGTAGGCTCCGAGGGGCAGAGGTAGGGGTAGATCGCATCACAGCCGAATCCCAGGAGGCAGCAGAAGTGGTGGATCTCCTGGGCTTTAGGGCTTCCGGGGTTAGGGCTTTAGGGCTTTCGGGTTTTGGGCTTTGGGGTTTAGGATGACGTCCCTTGTAACCGTACTTACGGAGCTCTCGTTGCCTGTCAGGTTCAGAGTGTGACACCCTGCAGGGCCCTCGGACTTGCCTCAGTCCTAAATCGGCCATAGCTATGCAGGGCTTCATTCTTTGGAGGATTCTCATCGTAAGCCCGAAGGGGCGGCCGTAGTTTCGACATGTCCATCTTGGCATATCTTGCAAAGCGATCGAAGGTCGAAATCGTAAACCCGAAGGCTGCATGGTGCTCGGCTTTTGACATCTCCTAATCTCCTAGACCCAACACCCGAACTGCCCACCCCTGTATGCCCTAAACCCTAAAATAAAACGCAACATCTTGTCCCTGCAAACCCTAATCCTAAGCCCTCGACCCCGGAATCGCTGGCGAGGCACGTGGGCATCCGCCCCTTCGACCACCAGGGCCACCTTCTCTTCCCGCAGCTGGAAATTGATGATCATGGTGATGACATATAATCATACACGTAATCTTACGGATTGCCGCCAGTGCAACAAATGTTCTTTGGTCGCAGCTTGAGGCTTTTGGGGTAGGGTATCAAGTGCGTCATACTTCTCGTAAGAACCCTGCATCCACCCTGCAGGGCCCAACAACCAAATTCCGTGTTGTCGTACTTCATTTCATGCTTCAAGACATGTAGGGATTCTTGTCTGGGTGTTACGAAACATTCCCTGCTTCATGGCTGAAGCTGGCCTTTTCGGGACTCTGCCCAAAATAGCCTACAGGCCTCCGCACTATTTCTCCGCGCCTTGGCTCGAAGCTTCTTGGCAATGAGGTCCTGGCTGCTCAGAGCCAGGCAATATGGGGCCTTGATAGCTAGAATGGGGTTCTGGGGTACATTACACCATAACTGTCATCAGGATAGAAATAGTGACTAATTATTCAGACATCTGGATCTAATCACCGTGAGCATTAGGGTGTCGCAGAAGAGTTGTATGAGGCTTCTTTAGGATCTTTGTTTTGTGAGCCTTGTATACTTGGCGATCGCAGGGCTATAACACATATAGCAACACGATGTTGGTAATGGAACCCAGCCCCGCCCTCCAAAGGGCTCACAGTGCTTGATAATGTGTCTTGAAGACCGAGTGGAAATCAAAAGCTGGCAAGAGGGTGTCGCAGTTACTGTTACAGCAGATGATCTAAGGCATCGCCAGGACTACGCGGGGCCTTCTCGAGCTCAACGGTCTCTACACAGATGAACTCGCAGCTGTTGCATCAGTGCTTTGGGTGCTCGTGTGACTGGCGTGTCCAGAACACAATACAACTCAATGCGGATGCTTCCTGGAGCTACTTCGTCATCTGTAGGTCTTTGGGGTCGCCTTACTGTAAGTCCAAAAGTTGCAGACAGGCGACAGAATTCGCTATATACCCCACCATCTCAAAACAAACGCCGTAAACAGACGAATTGTGGAAACCTCTTCCATTGACAATAAACCTACGTCTTATGTTAAGGAAACCCACGCCACCAAACAGCGCTACCTGGTGTACTGCGCCCACGGCCAGCAAGGAGCTGACTGGAACACGACTCTGACTGGCGCGGCGGTGCGACAGAACCTGGGGAGATGCCCCGAAAAGGTAACCCTAAACCCTGAACCTTAAACCCTAAACCCAAAGCCCTGTACCCTACATAATGTGCAACCGACTTGAGGCCGGATTCGATTGTGCAGCCTGGGGCTTCTTTTCAGACAGACATTTGAAGAGATCTTGGGTTCCGTGGATCGGGCTGCGGTCTCTGAAGGGCACACATTGAATCTGGCCTGAAGCTTTTTGTATGTACGACAAACCCCGACCTGAAACCCTGAACCGAGTCCAAACCCCTAGAAGGTACCGACGCCCTGAATGCTGCACCCCTGAACCCTACAGTACAAAGCGGTAAGGAAAACCGTTAATGGACGGCTGATCAAGAAACGAGGATGGCCGCGCCATCGCCGAGAATCGCGGCCTCGGCTTCCTTGCAAATCTGATCCAAGCGCTCCTCCATGAGCCATGAGTGTGTGAGTTCAAGGACCGTGTTTCTCAATAGAATGGGGCTCGGGGGAGGTAGATACTATATTTTTCCGTTATACCATGCATTTCACAAGTATGATACGAGTGGCGAAGCCCAATGCAGGCTCCTGCATTAAGGAACAGTGCTTCTTACCAGGCTACCACGAAGGTGGACAGCAGGTTTAGGGTTTGGCGACAAGGGTCAGGGTCTAGGGTCTAGGGCCTGACAGAGTAATTGCTGCTGCTGCTGCTGCTGCTGCTGCTGCTGCTGCTGCTATGAAGGTCTTACTGGTGAGTCTACTGCGCACTACTTGTTGCTGGTCAGCAACACTAGAAACACTATTTGTACTATTCCTTTTCCGGTGACTGCTAGGTGCTCCGCTCCTTCAGCAGGTTGTTGCCTCGGGTTGCACGGTCTGCTTGCCGGGCACGCGACTTTGTTTCCTGAGCTTGAGCTGGTGCGATTTTTGGCAAAGTATTGGCTTGCTTTGTCGATTGGGGCCCAGTGAATGTGGCTCAGCTTGATTCCCGAGTTTCTGCTTTGGGAATAGCCTAGGTCTAGGACCTTGAGATCGACTGGTCGCTTAGCTGCTCGTTTGCATTTGTTCCCCTTTATGAGCCTCTGCGACGGATCCAATGTTCTCCGACTTTGAACTGTGAGGCAGGCGGTATTCAATCCGACGGCTCGTATTGAATGCATAAAAGTTGTGACGGCTCTTTATTCGAAGCCTGTCGACCACAAGCTGCACCCACGTCCAGGCCCGGTCGAAACTGTTACGGCAACGCCGGATATGCATGTCGACGGCCAATGAGGAACGCCGGAATCGCCAACAACAGGGCGAAACTGACACAAGGCACTAGGGCTGCTAGGGTTGAGGTGCGTAGACTCAGATCGAAAGAAGACAAGTCTAAGAACCTCTTGCGGCTCCTGATTTTGGGCTTTCTGCTTACTGCTGCTCGCGCACGGCACACTGCCGTTCATGAAACCGTCAATGGCTTCAACAATCAACTCTGAAAGCCGCAAGAGCCCCGGCAGGGAAGAACGGACAGGCAAGTGTCGCTGAGGCCATAGGTCATGTCCAGGACCACGGCAGGCATACCATCGGCCTCCACATGTGAAGCATCAGAGGCTTGAATCCTTCTTCGGCCCGCAAGCAACTATAACTACTGCGAGAAGGCGATGAGTTCTCTTCCAAGAGTTCTTTGCGTGCGAGCGCTGCCACGAGGCCTACTATGGCGAATGTTGCTCGTGCTACAACTGCTTGGAGGCTTGCAGTTTCCATGCCTCGGACCTCCAAGCCTGCAGGCCTGAATTCGTGCAGGCCTGGCGGGGTGTTGCATTCGTTCAGTTTGCGCAGCGGGAAAACCAATGGTTGTGTTGGATTCACTCTGGCTTTGCGGCCAGGCGCTGTCAGCACCCAGTCTAGTGCTTGAAGCCCCAGAGCCTCCAGACATACGACATCGAAGAAGAGCTGGACACACTGCAGCGACAAACGAAACTCTCCGCAACCCCGAAACACCAAGGCGTGGACCTTCACCCTTCAAGTATGTGTCTGTCTTCAGGGAGGTCCACTACGAGGTGTTGCTTCTAGGAGCATCCTTCGAAAGCGCTCATGCTGCCCGCACGTTCAGCATGTGCTGCCCAAGTCATACCGCATTTCGCTTCCCCACGTGGGTTTGTTCGGAGACCTCACAACTACACAGCCATTCAACACAAAAAAGTTCGAATAAGCATGCAAGTAAGCCTGACAAGAAGCAACCTGAAGCCACAACTGAATAAACAACACGCTGGTATCCGTATACACATGAACTGCGCGGCCACGAACTTGCAAAATGCACATCGCCAGAGTCAACATTCACAAGCATTCGACTGCACGGCAAAGCTCTTTTGAGCGCCGAAAGTTAGGGCGGTTTGGGCTTTAGGTCTTGGGGGCGCTAGCAGCACTAGCAGTAAGGCTCGAGGCCTCAAGCCCAAACAAGGCGTTGTACCGGCGCGGGCAGAGGATCGGGGAGTCGAGGAACACACGTCGGCAGGCCTCTCAGGCGTGAGATTCAGGCTTGCAGGATCAAACAAACCTGAACACCTTCAGCGCTCGGGGGCTCCAAATAGAGAAGTCCAAGTTTTTGGCCGGTCTGGTCAGAATGGGAGAAGACAGCACCGGAGCGTTAGGGTGTCCAGCAGATTCTACTATCAACCTTGGATCGCCCACATCCCTAACCCTGAACCCCAAACCTTCATCCCTTGCAAACTCGTATAAATCCCCTAAGAACCCACCACAAAATCCGTGCAAGCCCATGTAATCAACCATTCTAGGGTATTGTCTGTGGGACGCTGTGTTGGCACTCCGGTGTACTATACAGGATGTGCAGTATGCCAAAGCGGGGCGGCACTAGCGAGGCAACAAGTAGACCAGGGTTTCGGTGTATGTTCTGTCAAAGATACTGGGACTGAACTGGTGCCATTACAAATCATTCAGACCTCTATTTGTCCTACAGTAGCAGTGAGTAAGAGCATGACTTAGCTGGTAGGGCCTCAGAAACCTACACCCATCTACACCCTGAACCGCCAAACTCTCCTATCCGTCGCGAGTCCGAAGGGCCCAAAGCCTGCATTACCCCTTTGGATTTTGAGCCTCTGGGGAAGGCTGCAGCAGTCCCCTCTCCGGACCCACAGGGCAGGTCAAGGACATCACGTTCGCCTCACGGTGTTCTTTCGGCCTAGGGCATAGGGATTGGATGAAGTGTAGGGATGGAATCGAACCTGTGCTCTGGTCTATTCAGACGCGAACACTCTGAACCCACAATACTCGAGCCCAACCAGCGGCTCCCGGAAAGGCAATCGCAAACCCCGATATGCACAAGCAGGAAACCATAAATCCGGAACTCGAGAAACCCAAACCATAAGAGCCCGAAGCTCGAATGCATTGTCCGGGCCCGAACACTTGACTCACTAACAAATCGAAATTCCTTGGGGCGCTGGGCTCTCACACACGATGCCTTAACGAACCAGTAGCTGCTCAACTTCCGAAACACAGGTGGCACTTTGCCGTCCTGTTCTCGCATATGCAAACGTCGAACCGACTGTTTATCATTCGAAGTTCGTGTCAGACTATGACGACCTGGGGTCATCCTACTCATTTGCTTGCTCGCCATGGCGAAGCAGCTATGCCTATCATGCCAGACTGCACACACCTGTTCGTGTCGTGTTGAAGTTTCGGGCTGAGAGCTTTGGAGGGTTAAAGCTTCCGCAGCATCTTCCTGTCACTCTTGACAGTTTCGGGCGGACCTCGCTTGTACCCATGATGCCATGTTCTGTCGGCCCCTGGCACAGTAACCAACACTTTGAACCTCAACAATCAACACATCCAGCAAGCCCTCTCACCTAAACTCCTGAATACTCTGCTTGAAAGCTCAACAGACTCAGGAAATGGAGTATGATTGTGACGTCTCTAAGATCTCGATCATTGAACTTATTGACTAATATTCCAAAGCCGCCCTTCTGAAACCTGATTCAAGCCATGAAGCCTTACAAACCCCACATAAAGCCCATGTTAAGCCTGCAGCCTAACAAATGGCCAAAGGATTGTAAGACTGCCGGTGCCATGTAGCTGCGGATTTAGCAACCCACCAACACATGCCCAGATCCGGGCACATCGGAACCTGATTCCTCAAAACACCAAGACCCTGAACCTTAAAACCTTTAATGCAGCAAACTTTGAGGATCCAAACTCCGAAATCCGCAAGACACGCAAACCGTAATTACGCCGCTTGCGGCCCCAAGCCCTCAATCCCAAGAAATCACCCGAGCTAAACTCGCGCCTCGCGGATCGGGTCAATGGGTGGATTCGTCGCCTGCGCGAAGAGCCTCGGCTTCTGGACTTCGGAGACTTCGGAGTTGCTTTTGAGGGCTTAGAGAAGGGGCTCATTTTCTGAGGGCCCCTAAAGGGGGTTTTGATCTTTTTGTTGGGGTGCTTTAGGGCGGTCTAAGCACCTCGGACCTCCGGGTTCAACCGGCCAAGCCCTAGACCCCAGAACCTAAACCCCAAAACGCGGGCAACACCAGATTCCGGAAGCGCTGAGGTCCTAAACCCTGCAACCCCAAACGCCCTGAACACCCTTAAAAAAACAACAAGCCCCAAACTGCCTTAAACCCGAAGCCTCAGCCCTGCCGACTGCCCAGGGGCTGGAAGAAGTAGTCGAAAGGCTGGCGAGGCATTCTGGACCTCGAGACTTGCGGGCAAGGGGGCCCCTCGCGGTGGGGTCGGAATAGCCCATTTCTATGGGGCCAAATGCTCTCATATGGGCTCTTTCGTCTAGAGGCTTCTTAGGGTTTGGTAAAGGCGGTGTTAGTAGTTAGGGTTCGCGGGTATATTCTAGGCCTGGTATAAGTGTGGAGTGATTCCAGCAAGCAACATCTAACATGGTTGCGGATTTAGGTCCCCACCCACCGCTCATCCTAAATACTAGTCCAGATCCCGATCATCCCCAAACCCCAGACCTGCAGTGCAGACCCTGGACCCAAACTACATCCAAAGCCATGCTGTAACCGAAAGGCTACCTGCGATTCGTCGTGAGCAACGCAACATGCTGCCAGTCTTATGATGCATGCTGAGATTTGCTGGTACCCCTTGTAAAGGCCCTGCTACCTTATACAGCAACCCCTTGCATTTGCTTCAGCAGTTGAAGAGGTTCAGCGGTCCATGTCTTTCCGATCTTGCTGCCAAGAGGCATGCAGGCCAAAGCCACATCCTGCTTTGATCCCAGGGAGCCCTCGACCCAGAATCCTCAACCCCAAGCCCCAAGCCCAACCCAAACCGCTCTGATCTGGAACAGAAGCGCCCCAGAGATTTGGGATCGGTTACCGGTTGCGCCTCGCAGCTATTTGGTTTGATGTTTGAGACGATCGAAGGTGAGGGACGCCAATATCGCAAGAGTGACGGTGTCAAGAGATCTCGAAGCAACACATGTCGATGCGTGGTAGAGTTGATCTGATGGGCAGTTGACACTGAAACCCCACACTCTACCGCTTTCCATCCAAGCTCCAACTCGCACTTCATGGCCAGTTTCGCAACACCTATTGTGATGGACGTACTCGCCACGGTTGCACCTTCGGGTGCAGGGCAGGGCTGAATTCTGGGGGCCCGGGCCGTGCTCTGCTACAATCTCACCAACGAAAGCTTCTTATAAGGGCACTTCTACAAATTCGGGCTCTCGCAGGTGTCCCTACAATGCACCATGACCTTCGGGCCCCGACACATGACCAGCTCTGGATCTCCAAAGAATCCAAGTCCCAGAAAGGCCCGGTCCTGGCCCATGGAGCCCAGAGGCTCGGCGCCCGTCTTGACCATCGGCGCCAGGAGCATCTCCACCTTCCTCGCTTGTTCGCGGGGGGGGGGGGGGGGGGGGTGTGGCTTTTGCTTTGATTGAAGAGGCTCTTTCTTGTGTTGAGGTTCGGAGATTATCGGGTTTGGGGGTATTTGGCTTCGAGTTGAGGTTCAACGCTCCATCCCGGGCAGGAATCATCCGCAATGGACTCGGCGCATGCAGTCCCGAATAAACTAATAGCGGCGCGGGCACATTGCAACATACTTTTGCACGGACGAGGGGGCTGCTAAATCCGGTTGAGCACAGAAGAAGCATGTTGTCTCATGGCCTTGCAGGGCGACGATTGAAGGCTCTGATCGAAACACTGTCGGCCAGAGAAAAACCTCCCTTGTGCAACTTTACATCTTGTTCGAGATGCGAAGGAAAACTAAGCAAATTAGGCCTGGGCGTGTTTGTATTATCGTAAATTGTAACGAATCACGCAGTTGGCTAACTCGCTTCCTGTTTGGCATGCTACCAGCTTCTACGGATGATACCGGAACTGCACACGACTGGCATTCAAGAATGAGTTTCGTTCTGGTGTGTCCTAGATTGAAAAAAAAGGTAGCCCCAGAGGGCTCGCAGGCAAGCAGTCAAGATGCTCGTAGGTGTAGCCGGTGTAGGTGAGCAGCGGCAGCACGCGCCTTTGGATGAAGCGCACTTGAAGTCTCAACCCAAACATCTTCAACAGCAGCCTCAGAACTGGACGCCGCACAAGGAAAAGCTGCAACTTTGAATATGCAACCCGTGCTTCACATCCCCGATACACTTCCATGGGCTAGGACTTATCAGCACCTCGCCATCTGAGCCCAATGTTGAAAACGAAAAAATCCGAGTGCACTCGGCGTTTTTCTCCGAAGCCGCCAATCAGCAAATCCTGTGCCAAAGACTGTAAAACCCTCAGGTCTAAAAACCCTAAACCCTAAACCCTTAAACCCTTAAACCCTTAAACCCTTAAACCCTAAACCCTTAAACCCCTTGAACCCTAAACCCTAAACCCTTAAACCCCTAAAACCCTAAAACCCTTAAACCCCTTGAACCCTAAACCCTAAACCCTAAACCCTTAAACCCCTAAAACCCCTTGAACCCTAAACCCTAAACCCTTAAACCCCTAAAACCCTAAAACCCTTAAACCCCTTGGGAACCCTAAACCCTAATCTTCCAGCCCTGCGGCCCTGCGGCCGGGTCCGTACCTAAAGCCCTCTTGGCAACTTGCTTCAGGCAATGCACTGTCGAGGGGCTACAGAAGACTACAACAAGAAAGGCTTATATAGGTGGTTCAGGGTTGACTGGTTTGGGTTTAGGTTTAGGTATCTCAAGAGAGTTTCTGGGCTTGTCGGAATACCGATTCATCATACCTGAATCACCCTAGAGCAGCTGGCAGTGGCCGCAAAGCCATGCTCTCTAGACTGAAAAGCATTCGTCAAACATGAACCACCTAGACTGGCAGAAAAGTAGTCGTCGTCATGGTGGTGGTAATAGCAGTGGCAGAAGCGAATCTACTGGTATTGCCAGTCGTACGATTAATCGGCCTCTAACCGAAAGCCCGGGCGCTTGTTGACCAGGGTGGTGTCCGAGGTGTCGAAGCTGCCAGGCTCCTTTTGAAGCTCATAGCAGGGCTTCGAGCTCAGTGAGAACCTTTTAGTCAATTGAGTCTATTACTGCTACCAGTTGAGGATGGAGGAGCGTTGAGAGAGGATGTTGGTGAGAGTTTTGTAGCTTCCCAATACAGCCTAAACTGTGTCTATTGTTCAGTGGGTGCGGCTCCCCGAAAACCTTTCGGCGAGGCTCAAACTGCAGGCTTTGGGCGTGGGGCTGGGGATGCGAAAACCAAAATGAAGGGAACACACAGACGGTATAAATGACCGCAAACACTATGAACTAAGCACCCACTAAACCCTAAACCCTTAGTTGGGCGAGAATAGCACCGTTGATGCCAAACAGAGACCTCCCGAAACATCCGAATTCTGCGGTTCACCCTCCATACAAAGCCTTGAAGCGTCAGGCTGCGAAGGAAGCAGAACTCCAGTGTCAGCAGCAAGCTCTTTCGGAGCTGCTTGGCATAAAACGCACTATACCCATATGTGCCAAGAGCAGAACGCAAAGGCAGTAATGAATGCGATGCAAACCGAAATCTGGTTATCATGAAAGACTTGGGGAAACGGTTATCTATATAAGGCTCGGTAAGCGGCTGTCGGGGTTTTGGCCCGGGATTTCCGCGCTGCAGGTTGGAGCACGCTGCTTCGATGGAGGCTTTGCAGAAGCAGAAGATCCTCAACGCGAAACGGATGGAAGTCGCAAAGGCCGCTCACGAGGCAGAAGTGAATAGGTTGCGGGGTGAGTCGGAGGCCCTTCGAAGGGAGCACGAGCACCTGGCTGAGAAACGGCGTCAGGAGTTGCAGCTCATGCTTCAACAAGAGGAAGCACGCAGGGACGCAGCCAGCACTGTAGATCCTGTCATCAACTCGTCCATGACAACGAGCGCATGCCCGGCGAAACTGCTTGAAAGACTAGACCCTCGATGTTCAATGATCTCTTTGAATGACATGCCCAATGCATATCTGTCCAGTGCCATACGGCACCACCCTCCAAAGATTAGTGGTGCAAAATACAATGATCCTGGTCCGTGCCGGCTCTGCTCATCCAGGTTCTCGGAAGAATCAAAATCCACAAGCTTCAGCTTCCAGCCTTTCGATTTCATGTCCTTCTTCAGGTGAACCATGTTTCGAGGACAGATGTCCCGATGTGCAATTTGCACACTGTGCAGGTAGCTCATCCCGGCCATCGCGCATCCAAATGCATCGCGCAAGCCAACGTTGGGTATTTTGAGCACTGTCGTGCTTTCCTCCAGCGAGGAGCCCAGCAGTTCAAAGGCAATGGCCGGCACAGGGCTGCAAGATGTGAAAATCACCCTGGCAACGAAGGGGTGCCGGAGCTTGCGCATAATCTCCGCTTCGTGGAAGAAGTCGTTTCCCTGGCAGTCGTTCTGGTCATGGCGCTTGCATTTCAGTGCGCACTTCATAGTAGATTTGTGGAATCTGGCTGCGAACACTTTGCCCCATGCCCCCTTTCCAATCTGAACCTCTGGGGCGACCACGTCTGGCCAATGGAGAACAGAGGCCAGCAACTCTGTTTTCTCCAGGGCGCCTCGCCTACTTTCAGGTTTGGACCTCAGGAGGCGCGGCAGAACATGAGCGCAAGGTGGTGCTTGGGGAGTCTTTGTGGCCTTCTGGCGAGACAATCCACCTGGCGTGTCCAGGAAACGCAGCAGATGATAGTGTCCTGGCCCTGGGTCAATATGCCCTCGCTCAGCAAAGCGAGCGCTTTTCGAAAATGACATAGACGTTGTAGCTCTCAAAACATCAAATAAACTCTTGTCAGGAAGGCTTCCGGCTTAGCACCCGGGCATCACGTTTAAATGAAATGAAAATTATGCTACTCCACACACTTTGAAACAAAGCTAATATCTACACCAGAAAGCTGCAACAACAGCTGCACGCACAGCTTTCGAGCCAGTGGCTATCACAGGTTGTCAAAGTGTTTGTATGAAGCCCGTGACATGGGCATCGCAACTGTGTTACGGGCAGAAGCGCTGCAGAAAAAAGGCCCTGAACAGAGACAGCTCGTCAAAAACAGTTTCCCGGCTACAAGTACAGCCAGTGAGAATAGTAGCGGCGTGGTACGTAAGTACTAGCGTAGCAAGCCCAGGAACTGCCTTCTGCCAACCAGAAATGAAAGAAACCTTAAGCCGCCTCGTCGAGCAGTTCCTCGATCAGCGCCGTGTCCGTCTTGGGCTCCGGGCCCAATCTATCCTGTGGTTCTCATCCCTTGGGTCCCCTAAACCCAATCTACCCCTTCATTTGATCGTATGGGGTCCCAGAGTGTGAAATGCTAGGTATGCTCGCAGCACCGGTGGCACTGCTCCGTAGTAATCTCAGCTGCAGCAGTAGATGTATTACGAGTAGTACTAGCTTGCTAATAACAATAGCACCTCTGATGATACCAACCATAGTAATACCGGCAACAGTATCCAGCGCCTTGATCTCGATGCTGTGAGTCTTCAGGAAGTCGGCATATGGCTGCTTCCTGGCTCAGAGCAATAACTCCTTCGTGCCTACTTGGAGGTTCATGGGTAGAAGTGCCCTGATGTCGGATATAACTATAGTAAGCCTACTTATAAACCCACCTGCAACCACCCGTCAACCTCCAGGCAGTAAGCCCGACCCCGGCGGTTCGGGATTGGCAGTTTGCAGGTTTCGGGAGCCTAGGGCCGCGGGCGTTCGTGTTGTGGCACGAAGCTAAAATGCAGAGTACCTTGGATCACTATGGGCAGAGCCCAAAAAAGTAAGCGCTGGGCCTAAGGTTCGGGGTTCGATGGAAGATAAAAAAACTGCCTCGCCTCCACTCGCGCTGTCCAACTTCGAGATCAAAACAAACTCTTGAAAGGGCCAACGAAGCACAAATCAGGGGTTTCCTCAGCCATAAATAACAAAAACCCTTACCTTGCCCCCGAACTCGCACAGGCCGGATGCGGACTCAGTGCAAAGCAGAAGAATGCACCTCTCAACCGGCTTCCCTCCAGTGAGCACAACGATGCACACGGTGAGATCCCTTGATGAAAGCCCAGCACACCAAGCACGGCCAAGCGGCTTCGCATAGCGCATCTTCAGCCTTTGTGGCTTCGGGCTTTCATCTGTCAGAGAATGAGGGGCTGTTTGGAAGATGTCCCGCATCATGCATATCATGGTGTGGGAGGCAAAGGCTACGTAAGTTTTTGCGATGCCCATGGCTTGGCATCGAGGCTCTCAGTGTCGGGCCCACACTCGATAAGCAAGAACCTAACCGAAATAATGAACCCCAAGCCCTAGCAACGTAGCCATTGGATGCAAGGAAGGTGAGCCCTCTTCCCGGACAAAATCCTGAGACCCTGAACAAAGCAACAGCCTTGCAAAGACCGTTTAGTTAGGGTTTAGTAGGGCTGAGGGTTTGTTGAAACTTTATTGAAACCTTAAACTCCAGGAGTCCATGTACAGGGATCCATAAGCCCATGGCTATTTTGGGCTCTTCGGGGAAGGGACCCGAGGTTTTCCCAAACCCTAAACCCGAGCGAGTGCTCCGAACGCCAGTGCTCAAGCTCCAGCTCCTAACCTTGTACAACTTTGGCCTATGTGTGCGTGTGTGTGTGTGTGTGTGTGTGTATGTACACAGGATGCATATCTACATCTATAGCATATACACATATACTTACTTATTTATTTATATTATGTGTACATATATATATATATATATGGGTGCTTGTATTTTATATATGTGCTCGTACATATTGCAGACTAGCAGCTCGTTGTCCTCGATCAGCTTTCCTTCGCTGAAATCCACCAGGAGCATGCGCCCCGGCCGCAGTCGGCCCTTGAACTGCACCTGCCATCTCAATAGGGGTTTCCGAAAATAGGAGACCCTAATAGAGTACCCAAGTACCAGGATCCCAAAATGAGGTGCCCCTAATTTTCGGAAACTCCCTTGTAGGTCCCAGGTTCTATACGGGCAGGTAAAGGCTCTCAGGACTGTTTTAACACAGGAATAATCAACCCGGTTGTAGAAAACCTACATCTGATACCTCGGAACAATGATGCACCCAAAACCACGGACAAGAACCCCTAGCAGGGCCAAAGTAAACCGCAGCTTACCATATCCCTTCGCTTGAAGTTTGGCTACGCGCTGATACTTTTCTCCGGCCTCTTCCTGTGGGACATCCACGACACCGACCTCCGAGGCGAGAATGAGCCTCTTGTCCTCGCAAGCAAAGGAGCAAAGGGGCTTTCGTTTCCCCCAGAGAACTCTGCTTGAGTTCTACGTGGTTTCGACACGGATTTGGGGCTTAAAGGTGTTTGGGGTTTAGGGTGGGTTTTTTTGGGCTTTCGAGACTGTCATTTGAGGCCTTGGGGGTTAGGGTGTTGGGACGTGGGGGTTCAAACGGCTTAAGAGTTGGGGCTTCATGGCTGTAGGCCTCTAACAGATATGCACATATACACATCCTACAGGAATTGTGAGATGTAAGCTTATGACGCATTCAACCGCTATGTTACTCCGGAACCCATGAAGGGAGTACTTACTAGTCTACACTAGGCATGAGGGACCAAGGGAAAGGCAATCCCCTAATAAAACCTTAGGGCCGAGGGCCCAGGGTGTTAGAGCTCAGGGTTTAGGGGCTCCAAACTTCAGCTCGCCGAGGCCTTGGTGATGTAGAAACGTCCTGGACGGAGGCCGTTTCGATCCTTGGCGGACCGAGGGGCTGTGCTTCGAGAAAACAGACCTTAAAAGAATCAGGGGACGTCGCAAGCGACAGACTTGAAAGGTCGGGATTTCCATCCAGCTGACGTTGTGGCTCGGTTTAGGAGTGCTTACAAGACCCATGAATTGAGGCATGGGTCCCCTTGCTGCGGCCCTAAGACCATTGACCCCCAATCCTCCACCCAGAAAAGGAAAGCCTCGGCCGGCTAAAGCCCACAGCTCACATACACAAGATCCTGGAGCAACAGGGACGAACAATGCAAAACACCCCGTAACTTGATAATGACTATTTTTGTAGCTGTTATCTATCTCTGTCGCGGCAACGATTGCGATTGCGATCACAGCTTATGAAGCGAAAGCTGTCAACAGTTCTTAGTGTCACAACGACACGCATAGATAACAATTACAACGGCACAACCACCCCCACCACCACCACCACCACCACCACCACCACCATCACCAGAACACCAGGATCAACGAACCCAGTGCACCATTGTTGACAGAGCCGGCAACTCCCAGTGGAAATATTCCCTCCTTGATCGCACAGAAGCCTTGCGATGCATCCTGTCCCACAGAAGCCCACAGGCGAGGAGCCAGCGTGGCACCGAACTGAATGCCATCCGTGAAGCAAACCTTGGTTCTTGCTTTAGACGTGGGGTTGGAGGTGGAGCAAACTCTTCAACCTAAGCCTTCTCCTCCAAGTCCAGAGAACTGTGTCTTAGCTAGCTAGCTCCCCGACAGTACACCCTAAACTACAACTCTATTTTTGTGGGCAGCATGTTCTCAACCCTGTTCGAAACTGTCATTTGTCCAACTACCTGCACCCTACTCGTGACCCTGCTCCCGAGACCCTGAACCTCCCACCCCGAAACCGAAAACCCTCAGTCCCAAGACAAGGCCATCACCAAACCGTAAGCTCGGGGCGGCCACATGCGACTGAGGCAACACTGGCAAAACAGCAGGGCACGGAGCATGACAACTATGCGACACGGCAAACCAAAGTGGCACTGGCAGCAAGAACCGACTGACGTTGTGCGTGTGTTCGTTTTCTTCGAGCCTTCCAGGTCTAAAGTCTGATTCTATTCTATTAGGAGCTTGATCAGCAAATATGAACACAACATGCTGACCATAGGTCTGGGCAGCAACAACTTACTAATTGACTTACAAGAACCGCTCCAACATCAACAGGGCAAGGCTGGTTGTATCCGTACGATCGTCACGAAGATGCAAAGTATGCCGTGCAAGAGTCTTCGAAGACAATGGAATCAGTAAACTCTCAAAGTAAGGAAACGGTGGAGATGGTCCTGGTGCAGCTTCTGTTTCCTCTGCACCTATCATACTGCAGCGGCAGCAAGAGCCGCTGTGATAATCACGACAACATACTAGGTGCTCTTCCCGGTCCTCTCACTACCATTGCCACTACCCCACAGAGTTCCGCTACCACTACCACTACCACGATCACGACCACGACGACGACTACAGTACCACTTCAATCCTAGTACTGCTCTGAAGCTATGGCAGAGCTCTGCCACCTCTCCGTCCCTCGGCCGGGTGGCCAAGGCAGGACCGTCCCAAGGCTCCATTACGCAGGAGAGGTACCTCGGAGGAAACTCACCGGGCTTCTACAAAGGATCTATGAGTGTTTAGGGCGTCTGGGCTTTGGGGGCTTCAGAGTACTAAGGGCTTGTGTGGCTTCTGGGGTCTCAGGCCTGAAGGTTTGAGTAGGGCTTCAGGGTTCTCGGTTTTGGGCTGAAGGGCTGTCAGTCAGATCTCCGAGGATGATGCTTGGAGGGTTAAGGCTTAGTGTTGACGGCTGCGAGCTGACTGTACAGCGTTTCAACTTAGGGCCGATCTGGAACTTTCCATAAGTTTTGTACCTGGTTTGCACACGAGCCCTGTAAGGCTCCCGAAAGGTCTTTGTCGCTTCGAGTGTTCTGCGGTAGTTTCGGCTTCACTTACGCTGGGTTGAGGCTTTGGGAAGGGTGTTGTTTGACGAGCTTCTTACGCAGCACTGAAGAATGAAGACAGAAGCGCGTGCTTGCAAAAGACATGGTGCAAACATATTAGAGAAATCACCGCTGCCCTCTGGGGATCAAAGTTTTGACTTAATCGAAGAAGAACTAGCGGCCAAGGAACAGCATTGAGGTGTACTGCTCTTGCACCAGGGTCTTGGGGCTTCCAGTTTTGAACAACGAGTTTGGGCAGTCCCTGGAAGGTAGCAGTGATGCTCGGATATGTAGACCCCTGATGACTTTCAAGATCTGAAGCAGGGGACTCTGTTGGTAGGCTGCGCGTAAAGTAGCTACAGCAACATCTGCTTGCTATTCCAATGGATTATTTCAACCCTGCTTATGACTACCCCTGAACCTTCAAAGGGGCTTCTGTGTGCTGGGATTGAGTTTTTTTCAGGTGAATGAGTGCGCTGCTTAGGCTTAGGATCCAGGGTGCTTGTAGAAAGCTTTCTTCTCCGGCTCCATGCGATCGGCATTCTGCCAAGCCTCATTCGGAAGTTCGCTGGGGCTTGGCATTACACTCACTACACCTACAGAGCTGTGGAAGTTGGCTCAGGTCACTTTCTTATGAGCGTGTCTCTGTGCCGCTAAGTTCGAAGATCCCACAAATACCTCAACCTCAAACTTCTGCCGGGAAACCCCCAACTCTGCTTTAAGGGCTCCGAACCTTAGGGTTCCTCCTGGCAGCAGGGTTTAAGATCGGGTTTTGCACTTGAGTTTACAACCTCACCTCTGGCCTCGGGAATCACCATCATGATGACCTCCGCGAGCTCTCGGGTGCCTCACCAGATCTGTTGCACTCTGGGATTTTGGTGTCGAGTTTGCTGGGGTTTTGCAAGTGTTTGGGGGGAGAGCATAGTCAAGAACCACCATGTTACTTCTGATCCTGGGGCGAATTGTGCCGATCATGATGGCAAGGACAATGATGATGATGGTGATAATTGCTGATGATCATGAGGCCGATTGCAATGACGATGACGATAATGCACTAGGCCTGGGACTGGGCAGCACTAGGACTAGGACTCAGCAGTAGCGGTAGTAGTAGGAGGAGCAGCAACCAAGGGTCATGAAGATGCAATTCAGCATTTCCGGCCTGAAGTTGGGTTGCCTTTGCGTTCGTGGAGCCCTGCTCTTGTCACGGGTTTGCTCACTGTCGAACCGGACGGCTTGAAAAAGAACACTCAAACTCTCGGACCATGCTAGCCTGTCGGCTGCAAAGGACACCGTACTCATGAAAGGCACGAAACCAAGATCGACCGGCGGCATGTCCATGTGATGATCCGTTGGAATCGGGTGTTCTTCTAAACTCCAAACTGTGCGAGTTCCTCGAGATGCGTCACTCCATGATAAGACCGTGGACGCTTAGGTTACCGCGAGCAGCATCCCACTCAGGAAGAAAAGGGATCGCTCGAATGCTGTTCAGGGTTGCAATTTGCACAACCAAGGAAGCCTATCAAGATTACACAGAAAGAGATGCTGCAACAGTGTATCTCAACGATCAGACCAGGGTGAACGGAGCATCTTGCTATGCAGAGATACGGACTATAAAAGCTTAGCAATACCCTCACGACTGAACGTCTTTATCGACTTCACATGCTATGGCCTGCAGCGAGCAGGAGCTCCACCACATTATCCAGCAACGCTGAATCGCCTTGGAAGCCTAGTCGGCTTTAGGGCAATGCGACTCAGATCGGAAGGTCGTACTGCAGGGCTGCAGGGTTCGGGGATGGTTGAAGCAAAACTACTAGAACCTCTTTGTTCGGGGTCCACACCACAATAAGTGCGCCGGCGGTGGAAAGCCTTCACCCCTGGACTGGAACAGATCCTGTAACCCTTTCCCCGAAGTGCGAAGCAGTAGTTTTCGGTGGGCTGAAAAACGCAATTTCTATTGGGCCTGCTCTGCTGTCGTTGGGCTCTGCCACCAGGTGTGATTTTCTGGGTTTTTGACATACTTCTGCATAAACCTAACTGTCTATGACGTCGCGTATGACAGGCGGCTGCCGATGTCTTCGTCAATCGGGAAAAAGGCATCCAACTGGGCTCCACCAAAGGCGGCGGTGTCATTCATCAGCGCCTTCCCGGTAAGGCACAAGGATCCGAAACGAAACGTTGGTGTCCAAAACCGAGGACAACACGGCTGCCATGCCGCATAATTCGTACCATGTATAAATGCATCATGTAGCAAATGTGCTTGAACAACAGGTGGTTACAAACTCAGTACAAATATGTGTTGCTACATGAAACATCTATACACACACAAACGGTACATACGTGCACTTGAGATCCACCTTACACCAGAAACCACCACATGTCACAGACGCACACATTCATTCATTCATTCATACGTACGTACATACATACACCCACACATAGATGCACACATGTTATATCCAAACAGAAACATACATCTGTCTAGCTTTCTATCTGTCCATGCCTATGTATCTATCTGCCTCGCTGCGCATACTCACATACACATGCACACATACACATGCATACATGCATACATGCATTGTATTGCTACATACACACACATCTACACACACATGCAAATATGCAAATATAAGATTTACATGAACACCATAGGCTTCAAGCGCATAGATACATACATACGGACAGCCATATGTACATGCATACATGCATGCATGCATGCACAATATATCAGAGTCACCACCGCCTGCGTCATAATCACAACATCAGCCTTGATGACAACGTTTCCACCGGTAAGGGCCATTTTCCGCAGCCACATTACACACATACACACATGTAGATATAAGGCTTTGAAGTATTTTCCATTTACCGGCCCGTGCGTTTTGTTTCAAAACACGCGCAATCACTACCTAGCAGCCCTAGCAAGACCACAGCTGCTCAACATTCACAAACATGGAGCTTGTGCGGTCCACTCAATGATGGTAACCTCAAACGAGAGTGCTTCGCACCCAATTTGACTCCGCTTCTTTAGCAGGCATGATAGCAGCCTGATGTAGTTGCCGTGCGTTAAAGAAACCTTTTCGGTGCGCTGAAAGTGAAATTCCGCGTCTATGAACAAGTTTCTACGTGAGCTGTAATCTAACCGTATCCCCAGCATCCGCTATGTCCCCTATATAGCCCGTTCTAATCCAGGGTGTGGACTCCTGTCTGTGCCCACTCATGGAAACTGAAACAGCGAGGGTTGGACTTAATTTGGGTTGCGCAAAGCCGCATGCCTTCCAAGCCTACCTTTTCTTAAAAACTGGCACGAACTTTGTGCTCCAGCTTCTGGGATGTCGACAAAAACGTGGCATCCTTTTCCTGGAGCTTCTTCAGACTTCAGACTCGTGAGAAGTCGAACTTGTTCGAAGTGCAAATGGGTGCACAGTGTCGACCTTCACCAGTTTATCTGACTCCATGAATGACCTGAGCACATGCTGCTGAGGACTCGAAAACTCTTGATGAGATCGTCTCCTCACAGCTCTTTTTGGTGGATCGTCCAGAGATCGTTGTTCACACTTTTCACTTTCCGAACACAAATAAACAAACCTAAACAATCAGTCTCGCTGAGCGGGCGTCGGCGGCGTCGGGTTTTGCGGCTGTGGTTGTGCGTGCTGAGTCCAGCCAAGCAACCATTAACCAAATGTCCGCGTTGAGGCGGCTGCCAACCCACCTGATCAGGATAACGTGGGCAGCTTGCGGGCCCAGCCCCCGAAAATGGATTCACAATGCCGGAGTTTCCACCAGCCCAACAAGCCTGAAGGCCTGAAGGAAACTCCACCTTGCTGGCAACGACCATCACCAACTTGGTTCAACAACGACTCTGATTCAGTCGTCAACCCACTGCCGTTGAAATCATTAACGGGTTACCGTCATGAAGCACACTCCAACCGGCGCCCCGCGCAAAACGGTCCCGGCGGACTTGGCATTGTCCTGCGCAGGCTGCCACCTGCGAAACCCGAAACCGCACTTGCCTAAGTGCTGGCCAAGTTGCCCAGAAGTCGGGCAAAATTGGATAGCCCGACCACGACGATGCGATGAGGCTGGCAGGCTAGCATGCTAAGCATGTCTGTCAGGTTATGTGCCACGCCTACTTGCTGCAAGGTTCTTCCACAACTCAAGCCCCAATGCAGTGACACAAATGCCCAGCACCAAAGAAATTCTTGCTGCACCTTCAGCATGGGGGGCGCCGAAGACGAGCGTCGCTTGGGTGGCGCCGCAAAGCCGGGTTCATCGAAACAACCATGTCATGACGAAGGCCCTGGAAACGCTCCTCCTCCTCCTCCTCCATCTCAATGAGCTCCACGAACGTGGCCCTGGCCTATGCAGCCACGGGTCCCAAAGTCTTGCATCTCTATATTGTGAGAACCTCGTCTCAACCTCGGCTAGTCAGACAAGGACGGTGAACCATGGCTTGAATGATGTCGTAGAGTGGTGTACCTGGACTGGCTGCCGGCTTGACCCTTGCCCCTGAAGGGTTAGACCCGAGAAGACTGCAGGATATCATGCTATCCAAGGAGCTCATGGTGCGGTGGAGCACGAAAAGCAGCTGGGTTTGCGCAGATGCTTGGTCAGACGGCTGAAGCCTAGTGAATGTCGCGTCCAATGGATCTTGCCACGGGTTCCAAGCATCTTCAGTGAGGGAACGGCTGCGATGACAGCAAAATCAAACAAATGGAAGTGTTCATCCTTGCCGATCCCAAGCAAAGCACATCGCGAACTGTAAAGATTGCAAGCTAACTGCGTAGCCGGCCCTGTGGGCAAGACTCCAGTTATTCAAAAAAGCTCCGATGGAAGTTCGGCAGGGCTTTCTTGGCGGGGGCTTAAACCACATTCCGAAGTAGTTTACAGTGACATTTCAGAGCAATAGAATTTTGTTGGTGCGCACTTTGTAAAAAACAGGCAGTTGTGTACATCAGCGCAAGGATGAAAGTGCGCACAGACAGCAGATTGAAGGCAGACAGGAAGGCTACTACTCCGCAGACACTACGAGCTGTTTTTGCTGTATATTGAACAGCTTTGGTCAGCTACGGTTGTAGAGCTCACGAAGAACCATCCAGAAAAGCAAGGACCCCAATTTAGATAACGTCCGGATATAAGAAAGCATATTACATCGTGACATATTGAAACATGCGGCGAATACTGGCTGCGGAATTGTCCCTCTTCAACGACATTTACAAGGCTGTACAAACCCCGATGATTCAGTTGTTCGTGGCAAACCCCCTCTTCCCGAAGGCCTCGCGAGTGCGGATGGAGTTACGATTGCCGGCCAGAGTGTTGATCTCACCTCACTGGCACGGAATTGCTGTTGAAAGCCCGTTCCCGCTCTTGAGGTTCTCTGTAAACTCCAGGATTCGTGACGTGCTTGAATTCAAGACTCACCAAGGAGGGGAACCCTAAGAAAGTACTGATTTGGACTAGAGAAACTTGCATGGCCCACGACAAGCAAGCCCAACATCACATGAGCATAGTGGTAGTAGTCGATCATACTGCAGGCCTTGTCTTAAGTTCAACGAGACAACAGGCTAAAATTGGCACATGGGACCCGGTCTCAAGGCTCAGGATTAGGGTTCAAAGGTTTAGGTATCAAGTTTATGATCAAACTGCGGTCCGCTGAGAAGAATAGCTTACCAAACAGAGGACGTCTTTCATTGCCCAGAAAGAGTGCAGCGAGGATACTACCCTTAATAATAGCAAGCATTACAGTTGTGAGGGCTGTCAGGGGTGTACGGATCTCTTGGCGTAGATTAAGTTGGTCTTGGGGTTTGTGGGCTCGAGGTTTGCGGCTTTAACCCATAGCAAAGCCATCCTGCTGGGAAGGGGCGGTAATCTGGGGTTCAGGGAGCCTCCTCATGTCCCACAAGAAGCAGGACTATGTTCTCTTGACTCCTGAGCTGCAAACGGTAAGCCGCTAGCCAAATGGCACAATACCCCTTCTATAAGTTGTATATTCCCTGTATAAGAGTGGTTAGTTGCAAATCTGAACCCTTACCCCTGCAGAGTCTCTGCATCTGTCTTGGGTGACCGGCCGTTGTGGGCAATGCGTCGGAAAGGATGGGCTCGGTTCCTGTGTTTGGATTGGGTTCGGGTCTCGGATACTCTAGGAGTTGAAACTTCCACGCAGCAGGTGATTGGTGTTGGGGAACCTGATAAGGCAACCCACCAAATCACTCGCGTCCGTACTAAGCGCCCCGCTGTCTCTATCAGGTTGAGACACTTTCATGGGGTTGGGGCCTCTAGCTTTTGGTGTCGAAAGAGGTGTAGAGTGTGGAGGTTCCATCTTACCGAAATTTCATTAATCTTGGGCTTCGGGTCTGGAGGCTCCGGCGGCATTAAACCGAGGTGAAGGCTTCGAACCTAGAAGCGCAACGCTTGCGGTCGCCAGCACGCTACACGCGAAATGGGATCCTCGTACTCCTAGCTGCCCCAATACAGAACGCCCTCCCTGCTCGTAAGCTGGACTGATTCTTGAGAATTTCTGCTAACTACGGGGATGAGCTCCCGGCCTCCAAAGCGATTTGTTTTTGGTTCAAAGCAGAGCCCCTAAGCTGAAACTCGAGATCTCAAACCAGGATACACCCCGAAACCTGGACAAACGAACGCTGAGACCCGAAATCCTCGAAGAGCCCGAGCCCGCAAACTTTGGGTTTCGGGCACCGGCTCTTGGTTTCGAGAAACTCTCGAGCTTAGGGTAGGGCCTCGTCTTCCAGGTGTGCGCTTCGAGGCTCGCTTGGGCTTCGGACGTTTTGGCGGCTTGGAGCTGGTGGAGTCGAGCGGCCAAGATGGGAAGGAGTTCGTCGAGAAACGCGAGTGCACGATTGCCTGTAGTAGTCAGCGTAAGAGTGTCAGTACTAGCACGGCAAGTAGCAGGAGTCAGCGTTTGGAGGCCTGGGGTTTAGAGAACAAAGCAGAATCCCAGAACCTAGTGAGGCACACATGACTGCATCAGGGCTGAGCAAGCGAGGGTAGATGTAAGTCTGAGAGTGAAACCTTGATAAACCTGTTGCGGTACTTGTACAGCTACGATCATGTTGCGGAAAGATAAACGAAGGATCGAACATGCCGTCAATGAAGGCTTACCACAGCAATCCATCCAACAGCGTCACTATCTGTAGCAGAGGAACCTTTACATAAACCCGTGCAAGAGCATCATCACCATCACCATCATCATCAATATCATCGTTGTCGCCAACATCATCATCAACATCATCATCATCAACATCTCCTTCAAGCCGTGGACCCTAGCTACGCCCTGCGCCCTGAATCTTGAAGCATCGAGCCTGATCAGGATTTTGCAATTCAATTTTCGAAGCGTCGAAATGATGAAGGCTCGGCAACGACTGGTCTCGAAAATGCAGGGTTGAACTCTAAGCCCTTGAATCGAACGGTGTTGGATCTCAGGGCCGGGGGCTGAAAAGAAGGACTTTAATGCTCTGCAGATTTTCTGCTACCAGCACATTAGGAAACCTAGCAGATAGCACATTGGGTCATTGGGACTGGGTGGTCAAAGCCAGAGCCCAGTCGCTAGGAAGGCTGTGCACTTCTCCGCCTTCAAGTCCTTGTCTTCTTTACGGGTTTAAGGGCTCGCGTCTTAGGATGGGATTCGGGCTTAGGGCCGCAGGGCTTAAGGCTTAGGGCAGGTCCGAGTGTAAGAGTGTAGGGCCGAGATTCCAAGCAAAGTCTTCGTAGGTGCAAACTCTAGCTCGAGGCCCTTGGCCCAAAAGTTCTTTGCTGACGTTAGTTTCGCGAGCAGCGCGGATGAAAAGCATCCGATGCAACAGATGCTCTACTTCACAGAAAGTTGGATTTGCACTCTCTGCCTATGCCGCTAAGCGCACAGAGCCCAGAAAGTCTCATTCTGCCTTGAACCAGCCTTGCACCAAGAAGACTTGCGGGGAAGTCTCGAAGGTCGTCCAAGCCTCGGACCCCGGCCTGGATGAATCCAACCCGTAACCTCAAGCCCTTGAAAGATGATGAGGTTTATCTTCATAAGGGCTACGTTCCGGGCTGTAAGGGCGCCTGCAATCATGAAGCCCAAACACCCAGAACCCTGCACCCCTAAACTTCAGGCCTCCGATCCCTCACCATGGCAATGGCACCAGGCTTTTGGGACTCCGCCAAAAACCGAGCACCCCAAACCCTCAAGCTGAACCTTGGGTTTCGAAGACTTTCGGGTTTAGAGTTCCCAGAACTCCTACATGCCAAACCTGCCGCATCCTGCCGCCGTCAAAGAAATTGCACAGGCAACGTTTGGCGAGTGTCCAAGTAGTACTCGAAAAGTTGGCTGGGCTTGAACTGCCCCTTGTACACCTGAGCTGGATTAGGGTTCAGGGGTAAGTTGCAAAACCTCGAAGCTCGAGAGACTTGGCAGCACGTTGGCCTAAGGCAAGAAATAGACTACGGCTTGATGTGGGTAGAATAATGTCTGCCTTTCAGATTGTGTCATTTATTAGGGTTCAGGCAAAGAGGCTGAACGCTAAATCAAAACGCTGAACCCGCAACCGTAAATCCCAAACCTTAAGGTTCAGATTCGGCGTTTATGCAGGCTAGACGGAGGCAATCGCCATGAAGAGTTGAGGTTGAGGCCGCCTTGCAGGCCAGGGTTCACTCTTGTCCAAAGGGCTCAGTCTGTAGAACTCAGGTTGGAGTTCATGTTTCAGGTCAGGGTTCAAAACTCCGGCTTCGGCCTCGTTCGACCAACGCTTCCAACCAAACTGGAATTCGCTACGGCTAAGGCTGAGGGTCCCGATTGCAACCCTACGGGCTGAAAACGCTACAAAAACCACAACCAGGCAAAGAAGCCCAGCTACCGACGTAATAAAGGTGCATACAAATATGATTATACGTATGTTATACACGTATACAAGTACATTTACATGATAAGATACATACACATATACACAACATCTATACGTATGTATGGAATGGGCCTATACTATACGATCGTACGGGGAACGCACATATGTACACATGTATGTACGCAGGTGTAGGCGACCTGCTAGGTTGCTGCGGGTTTGAGGTCCGGGGCTTCAGTGGTGTAGTCACGATCAAGTATCAACAGGCATGACCACTTGCGAACTGCTTATGTGAATCCCGTGAGTTGGCCCTCCTCCCATCCCGAAGCAACCGCTGACTGCTCGAAAAATCGGTGGTGTAGAAGAGACCACCTCCAGCCCTCAACCCGAGCCCCAAAAGTGCGGCTTAGCTTCTAACTAGACTCCACTCCTGGCCCGAAACCCTTGCCGCCAAGGAGCAATCGTACGGGAAGAAAGGGAGCACACAAAGACCTCGCGGTCACGCAGCGCGACGGCGCGGCGGAGTAGGAAAAGACGCGTCTCGAGGTTGAGACCTGCCAGGCGCTGAGGGCTGCGCGCTGTAGGATTTCGGGGTTTGGTGGGTCTCTTAAGCTTCGGGATCCCATGTATTTCTGCTGGGTAGGACCATGATATCCTACATCATCCCGATATATGGAGGTTGGATGTCATCATATAGTCAAACGAACGTAAGGAATAAAGGTCAGCAAGGTTCAAGGGTGTTCTGAGGGCAGTAGGAACCCCTCCCCATGTTGCCCTGAACGAGACCCTTCGGGAAGGCAAAGCCAGAGGCAGCAAGCATCTTGCTGAGGATTTTGGAGAGACTAGGGTTCAAGGCCAACCGGGGGCCTCATGGCTTTGCTGGTACCACCTGATTACTCTTCGAGGCTGTTGATTTCCAGGCTGATTTCTTCCGGCAGCCTGATTTTTCATGCCCTCCAACCAATTCCCTCAAACCATGAACTCGGCAAGCCGCACAAGCACCGTAGTCCACAACAAATCGACTGACAGCCGCCAATAAAGCTGCAAGAACAGGTACAGTCAGAGGAATTGACTGTACCTGTAGTGTGCCAACGACAGTTCGGCAGTGAAACTGAGCAAAAAAGTCAGCATAGCCAGACTAAAGGAAAACGGCTTCTGGCCAACAACCTCCAGTAGTTACCAGTGCACTTAAGGGCGGCAATCGAAATGCAGAGGCTAACCGTCTGGATAACTCTACACCCAAGACTTTTCCTAAACTCCACGTCTCGGCTACCTGCAAACTGCTGCGCGGAGATTTTGCTGGAGGGACCTGTGAACGGCTTCGGTTCAAGGGGGGTTCCTTTGCTTTCGATAGGTTCCAGACGTGCCTAGCTTCTTGAAAGTCCGGAGATTTGAGGGTTTGTGACGTCAAATTTGACGTTGGGTCCTTGGCTTGAAGGCACTGAAGAGGCTGCGAGAGCGCCAAGGGCAAGCCTGATTTTCCTAAATCCTAACGAGCTACAGCCTGAGTCGCGACATGAGAGACACACGCTGACGCACACAAACAACTCATACATTCTTGCCTTCATTCTCTCGCTCTCTCTCCCTCCGTCCCTCCCTCTCCAGCACTGCAGACCGCATACTTTTTGCAGCTTACTGGTCGCATTCTCGTATTGCTGAATCAAGGACAATCAAGACGCACCTTAAGTTTCGTAGCCAGATCCCTCAAACTTTGCACAATTGACCCTAACACTGCAATCCTGTGCCCGCAAACCCGAATCAGACCCGGATAGAGAAAGCTCGAAAACTTCCGATTAGAAACCTGACGAAACTATAACAAACACGAATGTGCCAGTGCGTCTATACACATACATACAGGCACATGTACTGCGCATATCCACACACACTCTCTCTCTCGCAGAGGCATACAGGCACCCACGTATACAGACCTAGCTGCATGCATAGCGACATCCGTCCAAAATTCCGAATGGCCGCCCGCCTGCCGTCTTCTTGGCGGCTGGCTTACTTGACTTCTTCTCCTCCCCGGCGGAGTCTGGCGCATCCTCCTCAGAAAAAACAGCTCCGCACTGGTTCAGGCTTTATGATTCGTTGTTCAGGTGTTGTCAAAGGGTCCAAAGAAGGTCCCTTCCATAACAATTATCGGGGCAAAGTGGAGGTCTATGTTGGGACAGGCCCGGTATACTGCGGGCCGCTACGAGTTATAGGTTAGTATTGGCCCCAATGATGTGCATGTGCAAGAATGCCAGCACCACTGCTAGTCCTCGAACATGCCGCGATTAAGAATAAGCAATGAGCATATCCAGGATCCTAAACCCTAAAACCCGACATAAACCCCCCTAAGCCCCAAACCCTTCCTGAGATTATCAAGTAAAACGGAGTAACCCTTCCTGAGACTTATCAAAGCGGAGTCGGCTCACCTCTGCGAGTGTGACGAACACCTGAGCAATGAAGGGCTCGGTCGTCCTGGCCCGGAGGCGAAGGGCTTCGGGGGCAGAGATAGTACGAGAACAGTAGGGTTTAGGGTTTAGGGTAGATGTAGAAGTTCTCGAAACAGAATGGTCCTTGCAACAGCATGAGCATCCACACGATACATGTTCGTACTACTAGTTCTGCTGCTACTACTACTACGACGACGACTACTACGACTACTACGCACACTACCACTACCGCTACGGCTACGGCTACCGCTGCCGTTACCGCAACCACTACCACTACCACCACCACCACCACCACCACCACGACCACGACCACGACCACGAGACTCGAACCTTGACACTTTCGACACTTGCAAGGCTACCCGACCCATGACATTTCGGACGAAGCTGTTCCAGAGCTTTCGGCCTGAACGGCCATGGAACATCGGCCTCCCTGCTGCCAACTTGTGTATGCGCATCTGCAATGCTGCAGGACTCATCGCAAGGTGTACGGGGACAGCAGCCACTCAACCACTCAACTCCAAGCCCAAATCCTGAAACCCTGTACCCCAAAGCATTCCACCCCACAGCCCATGCCGAACCGTCCCCAAGGCCCCAACGCCAGCCCCAAGGCCCCAAGGGCCTCGCATAGGGTCCCAGCACGAGGGAGTTCACGGGGAGAGGCGCCCTCCAACCGATGACCTCACCGAGTCCAAGGGGCTCTGAGAGGTTTCTCAGGGACTTTTGGCTCAAGGTGAAGCCAAACAACGGGAGTATCTTTTGGGGTCCTTAGAATAAGGATCCTACTATTTAGGGTATTATATTGGGGTCCCCTTTTTTCGGAAACCCCTATACAACTCTAATTCAATCACCCCGCACCTGAAGCCCCAACTTCCGTGCCATGCGCTCGACCAACTTGATGGAGTCCTCGCGCTTCTCCTCCTGGGAAGGGCCGAGCTGGGTAGCATGAAACCGGGCTTTGGGCAGGGTCGGGGTAGGCATAAGTAGGGTGATGAGTCCTTTCGTCGGTTTATGAGTAGCCAGAGCTACAAACCATAGTTGCATCACACATACTTACAGGCCTTACGGGTCTGAAACTGGGATCCTTATTGCACTGCTGATGATTCAGGCTTCTATGCTAGGGCTTGAGTCGGGTTCAGGGTGGACGGAGCTTGAGGGCTTGATGCCGCTTATGGGGTATATGTTTCAAGGTTCGCCCAGATTGGTTGGAACTCGCAGGTATTTTAGGGTGTGGGATGTGATTTTAGCTGTAAGTTTCACAGCATTGATCAGCAAGGCTCACGGGGTTGTGAACGGCTTGGGGCGAACAAGCTTCAGGGCGCACAGGGGCCAAGCGAAAGCAACCGTTCAACCTACCGCCCTCACAATAAACCCTAACCCTAAAATCATGCTGCGCGGCTCTTTTTGAGATCAAGGCGCATGCACTCTTTCAGTTCGCATCGCATCATCTCTGCCAACACTAGATGCATGCGATCACTGCCAACTCTCAGGGTTCTTCCGGCAAGTAGGCAAATTTGCCTGCTTGCAGGTTACTCCCTGCAACCCTTCCTCGAGCGATGAAGCTAAACCCAAACCCCCTAAACTCCTACACTCCTAAACTCCTAAGCCCCCTAAACCCTAAACCCCTAAACTCCTAAACTCCTAAACCCCCAAACCCTAAACCAAGCTGTCTTGAGGACTTCCGAGAAAATCAGCTACATCACCGCTGGTGTTCAGCGTCGGGGATAGGGTTTAGGTTTCTTTGAGGGTTTTTTTTTTTTGAACCCTCTTTTCCGTCTGCCCGAAAGGTTAGTTGGAACACCAGGTTGGCGGAGGGAATGGAACAGGAGGCTCATTTAACGCGGGATTCACCCACCAAACACCACTACCCCATACTGGCATCGTTCACTGCTGAGTCCTCCCGCTCACATGTTGCACGTGCCACTCAACTTCACAAACCACAAGGCTTCACAGGCATAGTACCCCATAATGAAAGATTGGCCTTAGTTCTGTGGCACTGCCCAAGGTAGCCGTCCGCGAGTGCACAGTAGCCCACCTATGCCCTCTACAACTCATCTCAACATCAACATCTCGACGGCATCCCTTTGGGTGTTCTGGGCGGAGTCGTCTCAACGTCCCAGCTGCATCACCATTCAAGGCATAGGCAGGCCCTCGGTTTTCGAGAGTACAAAACCAAGGCTAATCGCAACACTGCCATAAATTCGCCATTATTGCAGGGCCTGCTGATCTGCCTAAGGGCTCGTCTCAGTGGCAAGGTCATTTGTGCACCCGTAACAATCGACACTACACACATTGGGATCCCATATCATTAACACACCCCGCCTTGCCCCTCGCTGAGCCTTCGGCGCGGAGAGGACTCTACACGCTCGCACCCGCTTGACTGCCAATTCAGCCGGAAGATTCTCTACGGCTACGGTCCCCTCGCCCCTGCCCAAGGCATCACAACACCATCCGACTAACTATACCCATAGTACACCTCATCACGACAGGGGCTTCTCGGGTCTCAACTCATTGACGACTACACTTTCTGCAGCTGCGTCCCGGATTCAGCGAGACAAGTACCGTCTGAGGAGGGAACTAGGTGACCGGAGATCTTAGCGGGGGGTCAGGGTTTAGGATGGTTTAAGGGTTCAGGGCTTCAGGGTTTAGAATGGTTTAAGTGTTTATAGCGGTTAGGGTTTAGGATGGTTTAGGGTCTGGTTTTGGGTTTTAGCTGTTTTGGTGTTTGATTTAAGGGCTTTATCGGATTTAGGGTTTTAGGGCTTAATTAGGGTTTAGGATGGCTTAGGGCTTGGGGGGTTTAAGTGTATTGGGGTTTAGGGTACCACTGCCCCCGGGCCTTGCGGAAGCGTCGCAGCACGTGGCCGGGTCTGCGCGAGAATTCCTAGGGTTACCAGAGCCCCATTAATGAAAGGGGTACGTTTTCTACCTACTACTTGTTTTTGAGGGAACCCAACCCTTAAGAATGAGGACACCCATTTTCCTACTACTTCGGTTTAGTCAGGGAACCCAAAGAGACAAAAGGGCAAAAAGGGTACTACTGGGGAACCGAGGCTCGTATGTCGTCAAGTTAACCATCATGAGGCCGTGGTTCTGGCTACGAAAGAACCTACAAACAGCACGAAGAAGAGGTCCAACGTTGCTGTTGCCAGAACCAGAATCGGTTTCAACTCGGGCGCAAGGGAGGCATTTGACAAGGCCTCTAAAAGCTCACTGAAGGAGCCGCGCGAGACTTCTGGAAATACCGTGTCAAAAGCATCAAGAAAGACTGTGTAGTAGAAGAAGAAGAAGATGGTGGCAAGAAGCACCACGATGAACAGAAAGAATGACCGCTGATTGCCCAAACCAACACTGTTGTCTATCCAAGGGCAGTAGTGGTCCATCCTCTCGACGCATCGACCTTGCTCCTTGCAATGATGCGAGCGCATGCTGGGCACTATGCCGCAGAATACGCAGACCTGCTTGAAGACGCCCTTCTCCACCAACCTGAGATACTCGCCGCAACCTTCTGCCAGGAGGTGCTCCACTCGAGCGCGGCCCAAATTGTCTGCGGTAGCCCGTTCCTGCTCGTGCAGAGTCGCTGTTGCCCGCTCCAGCTGGGCTGGAACTGCCAACATTCAAGCCTGAAGTGATCAAGGGCTGCCTTTCGCCTGAGGCTGGGTTTCGAGCATCGCCAAGGCCACAGCCTTCAAGTCGTCTCCGAGCTTCCTGGAGAAGTTGCCGCTGTAGTTGTACTTATTCTGCTCCAGCTCCAACTTCCTAAGCCTTGGTTCTTGTTAGGGACTGTATTCTTAGATTTCAAGTCTAAGTTAAGTTATCACACTAAAGAATTCATATCATGTACCACAAACCTCTTTCATGGTAACTTGAGTTAGGTTTCTTGACAAGAACCCAGAAACTCCAAGGCCTCTCCGTCGCCTGTTAAGGCTAGCTCCTGAAGCACGCTGTCGCAGTGAGCCATCTGCGACTCGATCGGTTGCTCAACGTCAAACGTCCGCGCCGGATCTCCTTAGGGGTTGAAGACCCCTGCCTAATTAAACAAGTTTGTCCTTTTCAACTATGGTAGGATTATGTAAACCCCAAAAGCCCAAAGGTTACCTACTCAGCTACCAAGTCTCTTCCCAGCAGATGGCGCTGGGAGGGTATGGTGTGTGGCTGGAGCCAACCCGGATCCGAGAAGAGGCCTTGCACCCAGAGCAGCAGTGACAGCCCCATCAGCATCGACCAGTGCATGACGGCTTCTGAATTTCTGGCCGCAACTCCCGGTGCGATGATAAGGGCAAAGATAGTGATGTGGTACACAACGAAACGCAGGAAGGCACTCGGCATGAGATTCTGGAAAACATGCGGCTTGCCGAACAGAAAATCAAAGACCTGGCACTTGTGGAAGGCAATCACCAAGAACCTGTTCCTCTTCCGCATTGCGAGTGCGATCACGGCCCCGACTTCCATGAGCATTTCGACGATCTGCATGTGTCCTTGCAGTATGTTCGCCTGCTCTTCACCTAGGCCAACCAGCACTCTCTTCAGCCGCTCAACCTCGGCCTTCTCCTGCTGGTCACTCTTGAGCTGGTCGTATTTGCGCTTCAGGTCCTGGGTGTTCACTGTGCACGCTGCTTCTGCAGTGGTGCTCATATCCATGGGCTATGAGCACCACTGCAGAAGCAGCTTGCACAGTCAACACCCAGGACCTGAAGCGCAAATACGACCAATTTGCGCTTCAGGTCCTGGGTGTTGACTGTGCAAGCTGCTTCTGCAGTGGTGCTCATAGCCCATGGATATGAGCACCACTGCAGAAGCAGCGTGCACAGTGAACACCCAGGACCTGAAGCGCAAATACGACCAGCTCAAGAGTGACCAGCAGGAGAAGGCCGAGGTTGAGCGGCTGAAGAGAGTGCTGGGCGGAAGAGGAACAGGTTCTTGGAATCGCAGTCATGCCTTCCCGATCTCGGTGAACAATGCTGGCAGATCGCGAGACCAACCAGTGCACTGTCTTCTTATTCTTATTCCCCTTGTAGCAAGCCCACTGCAGGGCAGTTCTTCCACGGTCGTCCTGCTCCTCCAGGCTGATACCTTTGAGGTACAGCCACTCCATAATTAGATAGTTGCCCATCTGTGCGGCGACAGTCGCACGTCGAGAGAAGGGCTCGATTGGTCTTCGTCATCTTGTCCAATGCACTGACATTACAAGAGTTCACAGCCCAATGTAGTGCGCATTCCCCGGAACTGTTTCCGACGTCCGGTCGCGCACCTCTTTCCAGCAATGGGTCGAGCAAGACTAAACAGTGCAGTATAGTGGAGAGCTGTGTTGCCATCAGAGTCCTGACTATCTGCTCTGTATCCCTGCGACAGCATGTCGATGACTGCCGCCGTGTTCTGTTGCGCGACAGCCTCTGCAACAGAGGCATATCTGCCGCCACTGCCGCAAGGTGTGGGGTTCGAAGCATAGCTCCTCATGGTCAGCGGCCGCTGATGACCGTCGTTCACAACTCGATTTGCCATGCTGCCAAAGCTGCCAAACTACTACTTTGCTTGTGTGCTTGAACCAACTCGGCGCCAAATGAAACTTGAAACAGCTGTCAATGGGGTTCTGAAGGTGATCTCCCCCAAATGAGCAAAAGCATGAACGGAGATTGGGCATGATATCCCGGTCCGAGAATTCCTTCCCTTGCACTCCGAATATGGTGCTGGATATAGAACCTCCCCCCCGTCCCTCAAAGTAGTTCCTTTTCGGGGTTCAGATATAGAATCCTAAAAGGTTCCTTTGGGGCCCCCCAAAACACCGTGGCGCGGTGCCTGAGGCGGCATGAAGAGGTTTCCGACGCCGTAGCTGCCAGCTTCCGGCAGGGCGAAGGTGCAGCAGGTGCGGTAGTACCTTGAGTCTTCACGCAACTCAGCCTCAGGATCATCGACCCCCCGGTTTAAAGTGTTTGAGGCGTGGGGCTTGTGGTTCTTCAGGCGAGGATCCGAGGGCTGGGGGCTTGCAATGGGAAGACCGCCATACCTGCAAGTCTATGTCGTCTCTTTTGAGCGGTCTTGAGGAGACCATGAGACCTGAAATGCAACGTCGAAGATGCTCGTCCGGGATAGAAATCATGATCCCGACACCGTCGCCGTCGTCCTCATGGGCCTCTCGAAGCTTCGAGGTCTAGGGCCTGGGGTTGGTTGGGCCTTCGCTTCACATCAACTTGATGATTCAATGCTTGAGATCCGAGCATTGGGCTTCAGGAAAATGCACGAAGACTTGAAGACTTGATTCTTTGATCTGGAATCTCCCAAAACACAAACAATGCTACTATGCGCATACTACGCGGCCCATCTGTCAGCTGCACTTGGATGCTGGATGCCACAACCTCAAGGCTCAGATCTCCAAGATCAAGCTCTGCACCTAGCCCGAAGCCCGAGGCTAGCAGAAATCTCATCAACAACGCCTCCTGTTGGTCTTCGCGTAAACCCGCACGACCTCCGACCACCCTCTGAGCATGGGCCCGAGTCATCAGTGATATTGCTGCACCAAAAGCAGGGCCCTCGTCTGCCGTAGGCCTTTAGGTGACCTACTGCTTGGCACCGCCTGCTTGGCACCGCGGTGGGTCATGCGCACCACCATGTCGCGGGCATCCGTGAGGGTCTTGCGGGAGGGCTTCTTGCCTCGGCTATCGCCGCTTCAGGGATCCAGGCCATTGCCATTGGGTGTGGGAGTGAGGCGTTCAGGCAACATGGGGTCAATTCTTGGAGTTCAGAACCCTACACGCAAAACCCTGCACAGCCTCACAGCCTCTCCCGCATCAAAGCCTCCAAACACCACCGCTTCTGAAGCGAAAGCCTCGAGGCTCCAGGCAGGCCTGGGAATGGAGCCTCCTTGCTCAAGGGGAAACCAGAACCCCCGAAGTTTCAAGGAAAGGAGCCCATGTCCATGACGGCACCGACTCCGCAAGCATCGGACTCGTACGTTGGGTCGTAGAGACCCTGCCTGGGGTTTGGGAACTCGGACACAAAGTCTGTTTCTGGTGTTCAGGGATTGGCTTCCCATGGAGTTCACTGGGGTGTTCAGGCTGCAAGGTTTGAGGTTCGGGGCAACAGGTGGGGTTTGGTAGGATGTCGGAAGGTGGGCCTGTCGCTTTCCAGGAAGAGGCGAAGGCTCAAGAGCTGGGGAAGTGTGGTTGTGGCTTGAGGATGTCGACACTACGATTACAAGGTCTTTTTGGATGGAGCCCAAGAGCATCTAGGCACTGAGGGGCCTTTGGAGGGACCTGTGTTCACTCGGATAACATTTAAAGTGCAGGATGCTGCGTCTAACCGCACTCGGAACTTTGGAGCTTTGGAGATGCTGGGACGATGCTACGCCTACGCTGGGACCTCAGCCCGTTCGATCCCTGCCCTGCCTCTTGGGCGTCTGATCCCAGTGCAATGCCATCTCCAACGGCAAGGGTTTATCTAGGAAAAACGATCCGAAACAGCTGCAGGGCCCTGGCATGGCTTCGAGGGTTTTAGCAATTTGGGTTCTTGAGTTTCAAGTTGTTGTGGTTTCGGGTTTAGGGAGCGAACTAAGCCACAGAGGCAAGATCCCGACCGCCAATCGTTCGGACTTCTACCTCAATATACCTTAGCCTCAACTATCATCTGCTGACCCCTGGATTTCTTGGCTGAGGGGTGTGTGCGGCACTGCCTGAGCAGTCTAACCTTGGTCAGTCTAACCTTGGTCAGTCAACCCTTCGGCCACATCTCCAAGAAACTCCAAGTGAATCCTACCGAGGTTGCGAGACAGACCAGTGGAAGGGCTCTAAACCTGCACAGCCTAGGCTTGCCCAAATGGCTTTTGAGTTTGCGACACCTAACCCCTCACTCTTCGAACCCCGCGCCAAATCATCCCGGAGACATCGCGTATGCAGTGCGACACAAAAGCCGTGTATGCATGTGGTTATGCTGCTGTACCACCAGGCTCAGTGAATAAGTCTAGATCCTGGTCGTAGCCGTCGTAGCCACCCCAAACCCCACACCCCACACCCTAAACCCGAATCTGGGTACATGTTGTCATAAGTATATATGGGGATCATACCAGATTCATGCAGAACCACACTCAGACCCCGCAAGAAGCAGCAGCCAAGATTTTCCAAGGGCGCGCCCCAAGCGCGAAGCCCCAAGGGCCCCGCAACCGCTCAGGAAGGGCCACAGGTCGTAGCATTGGCCTGGGAGTCGATTTGGGCCTAGGCCCAGGCAGAGCTCCTGGGCCCCGGAGGAGCGGGTGAGCTCACTTTTGAAAGAGACGCCTTTCAGAAGAGAAAGCGTCGGAAGGGGTTGGGGCCCGGGGGGCCCCTTAACTTTCCTGCTCGTCTGTGGGAACGTGAGGTTTCTAAGAAGCCCTTTTACCTTTGCAAGCTCCCCTCTAGAGGATCTTTGGGTGAAAAGGCCTCTTAGAAAGGGACGTTTATCGAACCGGCCTGATCAGGACAGCTCGATAATAGTGCGGACTTCGGTGTTTCAAGCGAGGACGTGAGATCAAGCCGCATCAAGCTCAGCTGTGCACTGCACCGCAGCATCGCAAGAGCTCCTACTGCGGGAGAGCAGCTTACCACTGAACGGACTCAGGATTTCATTGCAAAGCACCTTCTGCGATTCAATCGGGTGGCTTTGATGGCACACTTCATAGGCCTCTCGGATGGCATCTCCCTGAAACCAAGGGCACCCCCGCCCCTCGGCTCCATCTTGGAGAGCCGATAAAAAAGCAGCATAGTTGTTCTTCCTTCTAACTCTTCCTTGCTACTCGTATGCTCACTGTCGTGGTCGCAAAGCACCGACATCACTGCAAAGGGCATTCCAACAAAAGCTACGCCAGCGCCGAACGCTCCGTGTGAATCGCTGACGCTCTTGAGGGAGGCAAGACTATGGTAGCAAGATCTATCATTTCTTTGTGAGCATCTGCTCCGAGGAGGGCACGCCGGGGGCAACCCCTAGTTTGGGGTAAGAAACCAGACAACACGGCAGCTTTGCATCAACCTTTCAACAAGGGGACAAGCGTGGCGGCAGAAGGAGCTCGGAGTCGCTCGCCTCTCGAGGAGAAGCCGTCGGAAGACTTAACGAACACCTGTTGCAAAGCCTGCGGCTCGCGACGCACTTGGAATGTGGGCCTTGAATATCCCATCGAAAAGCAAACTGCGGCTGCGCTGCGAAGTCTTCAACTTGTGCTGTCTGCCACTGCCGGCAAGACTGCTCCATGCTAAGCTTCGGAATGCTTTTGCAGTTAGCAGCATGGCAACAAGCGTGGCTCAGGAGGTCTACTGGATCATGGCAGCACGGAAGTTTGCAGAGCCCCTGAATGTGTCCAGCCCAAAAGAGCTGAAGAGGCCCGGTGTGGCACTGTGTGAGACGTCACTGCACCGAACACGTGCTGCAAAGCCTTCTTCTCTCTAAGCCATCTGCGCTCGTGCTGCAAAGCTTTCCACCAGCGCTGTCTGCTTGCAACATTGCTTCAAACTTGATTCAGGAATGCTCTTAGCATAGCCGATTACCTTGGCGCGTGGATCACGGCAGCATGAAAGTTTGCAAACCGATCGCAAAAGGCAAGTGCAGCAATGGAGAAGAAAGCGACGCCTGATGCTGACATCCACCCGCGGTTGAGCCCTGGGGACAGTACTGCATCCACATCGAGGGTCCGGCGAATCGCAACCTTTGGTCCGTCATGCTGGAAGCATGGCTGGGCGGACTGGGACTAGATCCCCAGCACCTCTAACGTCTTGGCGCGACAGCAAACCCACGCAGCTGGCAGAGGATTTGGCGGCTGATGCAGACGAGGCTTCAGTGACAGGACAAAGATGTGTGCTGAGCGGCTATGCAAGGACATCTTGGGTCAAGGTCAAGTCCGCGAGTGCGCCGTCGCATGCCACCGCACCGGAGTCAGCCTGACGCATGCTGTGGCTCGAGCCTGCTGCGTGTACACTTCCTCTCCTGTACATCCTAGATGCCGTCAGGCAGAACGCTGGCCTTAGCCGAAGGGCCTGCAACTCAACAGTCCCGAAAGACAACCCAGCGGCATGAGCTGGGCTGGATGGGTCGACTTCTGCTTAGGTGGAAGGCGAAGCCGTGCTGCAATCCATGCAGCAGCTATTGCTTGCACTATCGCGACGGTGGTGTCTCCTGGTTGGGATTGATGGACTGTGGTGCAATATGTGTTGCTGCGGGCTCGTCACCAAAACAGATTCCGACAAAATCACCTACCTCAACCTTGCCTCCAAGTACTTACAGCCAGGCTACAGCAGCTACCCGCCTTGCTCCGAGAAGGCATTTGCGGTTTTGTTATTGTAGCCACGGAACCCAACCAAGACATCGCAAAGAAACAGTCGCAGCAGCGTGCTTGCTGATGCCACAACGTTCGCACCCTGCCACATGCAATCCGAATCGGACTAGGCCACAGCGGTGCGTCACTGGTCAATTGCGCGGTCTCGGATCCGCTCGTAAATTGCTGCCTCTTTGCCGTCTGCCGGCCGAAACACTAATAACCAGTGACCTAGTGATGCTGGGTCCCAAGACTACACCGAGACCGCTACGCCGACATCTCTTCCGAAGGTGCTCGAGACAAAGAGTTGCCAGGCTCTGGCACATCAAGGAGCGCGGGGAGGCCGAGGGCAGTTTGCCTTCTTCCCGCCCAAAATCCTTCATGATCTCAGCCAAGAACAGCTCTTTGTAGGGCTTTGACTTGGATACGACTTACCAACCCACGAACCTGACTGAGGATCGACCAACTCCTACAGAACCTGTATGGGATTCAGAACTTCCTGTGATCTCACGGGCTGGGCGAGGGGGCAAGGCCAAGTCTAAATCTCTCCAGCCTCACCTCCTACTCCTGGGTTCAATCAGAAGGACCGGGCGGAGCGTCAGATAGAAAAGGATTATGGCCTGACAAGGTGGCTTTGCGCAGGAAAGCGCAGCTAAGTTCGACTTACGTCCCGTGGGGCGGCCATCGGATCCCCGCAGGCCGTCACATGCAGATGGTGGACTCGGCCGGAGGTCCTGAGCCCTCCTAAATGCGGGAACCCCCGTAACTCTCTCAACCACAGCATCCCAGCCCGAAGTGACCGGAGGGGCAGGGCACATGTCGCGACGGCGGCGAGTTGCAGAGGCCGACCTTTGCTTGAGCGCAAAGCAGTGGGATTACAGGGACCCTGCGCTTTGACTAGAGCTCTGAACAGAAAGCTAAATGACATGCCGGAAGACGGTTGGCTCTGCCAGCAGGCGGAGAGAGGTTCTCGCAGCGCGCTGGATGTACCACCAAAGTCAAGAGGGAAGAGACTGAAGAGTTCCGATGCGAAGCCCTAGGATTTCGGCGGGTCGAGGCGAGTCGATCCAGCATCCTTGCGTTCCTGGTCCCTCCAGAATGGACTCCAGAAGCGAAGGGCATAAAGCCAGCAGAAGAGCAGGAGAGTCAGGCGTGAGCCGCAGGGCTGTCGCATTCTTTCAGCCTGACTTGAACTTGTCACGGGGTAATTCATCTTAGTCACGCTCACATGCCAGCCCGAAGGTTCCCGAGCAGCCCAACTCGAAAGGGACTCTTCAAAGATGGAAGCATGGCTGGGCGGACTGGGACTAGATCCCCAGCTCCTCTAACGTCTTGGCACGACAGCAAACCCACGCAGCTGGCAAAGGATTTGGCGGCTGATGCAGACGAGGCTTCAGTGACAGGACAAAGATGTGTGCTGAGCGGCTATGCAAGGACATCTTGGGTCAAGGTCAAGTCCGCGAGTGCGCCGTCGCATGCCACCGCACCGGAGTCAGCCTGACGCATGCTGTGGCTCGAGCCTGCTGCGTGTACACTTCCTCTCCTGTACATCCTAGATGCCGTCAGGCAGAACGCTGGCCTTAGCCGAAGGGCCTGCAACTCAACAGTCCCGAAAGACAACCCAGCGGCATGAGCTGGGCTGGAT